TGTGAAACGATCATTATTTCATCTATGGCATTACCCCACTTTGTCAAACTAATATGTGAAGTGACCTCAGTACATCAGAAGTAAAAAAATCCCACAGCTTCGTATGCCAGTTTAGACCAAGCTTCTTTAGAGAAATAAAAGCAGACAGATTTCAGAAATGAAGTAAAAAACTGGCTTTCACACTCCCTGTCTAAAGATGTCTGAGTTGTAATTAATATTTTTGAAAATAGTTACCAGTCACAATTTGCTAATGTGTTATTAATATTATCAATTAGTTTAATTAATTAGGTACAATTACTTCCCTGACGTCCATTATTTAATAATTTTATGGAGGGATAAAACATTGCGAAGACAACGGAATTTTCAAAACTATCATATTGCCCAATTATTCAATACTTTACTACACTATAATATGTTGATTAGACTGCTTAGTTATGTTTTCAGTTTTATACACTTAATCTACTGAATTAGTAAACTGTGTCAACATTATTTATGTTACAGAAATCACTGATCTTGTTTTACATGTTCAAGTTCAATTCCTTACTGCCTCTGATTTTATCCATTCACTAAATTTTGGAGAATTCTGAGGAAAAGCCACAGAATAAAATGCCCTTCATTTCCTCCTTTTTAACGACAAAAAGACCACAGTAAAGAATCCTGCATACACTTTTATTTCCTGTTACAAGTAACTAAGTCAAACAGAACAATTAATGTAATTGTAGAACTTGGGCTCTGTGGTAGAATGTAATTCCATATTGGATAAGTTTATTTTAAACATCACACATTGATGCAGCATTAACAGCTGGATGATGTTTCGAGCATAAATTGTTTCTCATAATCATATCAAGTAGAACAAAACTCCATATATTACAGTTCTACTTCGGGTTATGTTGACAGATAAACTGCAACTGCGTAGTGGTAATGACCTGGTACGGAGAATCGGTAAAGGAGTTAGTGAGTGCAACAGCAGCAGGTAATATGGCTGATGATTACACATAATGTAACAAATATTCCTGCAGTTTCTGGATTTATATATATACACTCTAATATACATAATCCATCACATGCATGCAGCTCAGGACTAGCATTGCTTTGAATAAGACATGTAAGCTGACACAAATCCAAATGTAGAATGGCTGGCCAAATCCGAAGACACATTCAAAACTACTTGTGAAAATATTAAATGTATGATGATGTAGTAGTGCTTTTAATCATTTATCTTGGAGAAGACTACACTGTTTGCAATGATTTTAACTAATTATACAATCAGTAGAAAATGATGTGGACCGTATTATACCTCTTACTATGTTTTAGTATCTTACAAAACTTCCGACATCGATTTATTTGCGGAGTATGATTCGTCTGTAGCGTAATTCCTTTTCTTCATTGATATTATTACGCTCTTTTATGCTCCATGAGTAATATAGTTTTTATACTTACGATGGTGTTTTATCTTTATCTTAGAATGTCGATCTTCTCAGAAAAAGTATTATGTTTATTATGTTACTCTACTATACTAATACTGTTTCACACCCCCTGATTCAACCATGCTTCTTGAAGTTGTCTATCTTCTCTTGAATCGTCATCTATTTCAAACCTTTTTCCACGTCCTATTTTCTATCAGTCTCAACATTTGACTGTGTGTTGCATTTGACTCAGTCATTTGCTTTAAACGATGACAAACCCTGAACACTTGGAAACTCCAGACTTCAAACTTTGAAACCCATTTGAACTATTTATGAACCTATTACTGTATCTCATTAAAATTAAGTTTGGGATTTTATGCATCACTCGGTCACTTGTTTTTATTTATCAAAGAATCAGTTAGTGTTTTTGTCTTCTAACTTCTGGAAATAGTGCAGATGACTGCTGAATGACTAGAGCTCACTTTGAAATATTCAAGTTTCTCATGGTGACATCTTCAATAAAGTATGATAGTGAACATTTTCTCATTTAGGTCGCTTTTGTTTTATTCTAATATATTTCTAACCACTGATTATAAACCGACCATTATAATCTGTCAGTAGGATAGTAAATTGCTTATAAATTGTGCAATTATTTACAATAATAAATTGAAATAAATAAATATTGAAAACAGTATGGTTATACACATTATTCCATTCAGAAATTGACGGTAGGCCGTAAGATGGGAATGTCACCAAAATACTGCCTCGTATGACAAGTTCACTGACCATATACACTTGGAAGTTCGGAGGATAGTTTGAAAAAAAAACAGTTTCTTGTGTTTTAGTTGAGCTCACGAACGACACTTTAAGTCAAAGACATGAAGAGTAATTTTCTATCACTGATATCAGTTGAATAAAATAAGTCTTACTGACTACAGCAATACAACTAAAGACACTATCTGAAAGTAGTATACTAGATTTGTACGGTTTTCGTCGCCAACAAATAAAAGCAGAGCATTTCAATACACGTTAAGCATCCCAAGAAATTTTTTATCTTGAATTTATTAATCCTTAGAAAAAAATAGCTACAAAAACTGTCTGGTGTAAAAAAAAGACAAGGACATGTCTTATTCATGTAAGCATCACTTTTCAGTCACCATATCTATTAAGTTCACATCCATACTTGAACTCATCTACTAATAAGTAGTCATAATTTGAGTAGTAATTTATTTATTTATTTTATTTTTATTTTTGATTACAGCTTGATTCCACACTGTATTTTGGGTACAAGTATGGAATTTTCAGCACGGATATCGGTAGCCCAAATTTCGCAGGCCGACCATAGATATCAGGTGTGCGTCGGCGTGGGCTTGAACCCCGGACCATATGCATGGTCGGCGAGAGTCCTAACCACTGTGCCACCGACGCACAGTGAATATGAATGCAGTGATTATTTACGCATGCTGATGTTTACTGGAGAAAGTTCATTGAAGTAAATCTTATTACCTGATCAAATGGCTTGTTTAAAGCTTAATTGAAATTATATTTTAGTTATATTAGTTTTACTAAATCATTAAAAAGTGAAGCCAATATCTTGGTTATAGACAACTGACAACAGACACTCGGTGTTGAGCCGAAATTTATCCAACTTACTTAAATTGTTCACTACTATAAAAACAGCCTTAGAATATTAGGAAATTTTTACTATTAAAATTAAAACAGAATTAATAGCAGTTTCCACATATGAGCTATTACCTTTTTTGCTAAGCATCTGCAGTATTCATGAGACTTAAGGAGGAAAATCAAATCTCGCTATAAATAACATTGCTAAGCATAATCAAAGTACCTATTTCTGAATCCCACAGGAACCCTTCATTTTGCTGAATTACGCCATACAGTATTATATCTCTTGATATTCAGTCAGAAAATACAAAAGCTATCTTATACGACTTGAAAGTTGTTAATGCAGACTGACAGTTGCCTTCTAACAGCGGTACACAAAATTCAGCTCATGCAAGGCCCATACTAGTCAAAACAGGCTTAGACAGGAATAAACTAGAATGGACAAATTAAACTATTCAACTAAGGCAGGACATCTGTTATATTGCAGTTGGTCAGACTAGTAGCCCGACGTTATACAATCAGATAACTGGTCATTTGAGAGCTTAACTTTCCTACGTATATAATATTTGTTTATAATATACATTAATGTATAATAATAACCGGTATGTTTTCTGTCATCATTTTCGTGCGCTCAGAGGGTCAGAAGTAATTGGTGGTCGGTATTAGTAACGCACATACAATTCGACAGTATTATTGATTCATCTAACAGAAGAACTCCTGTCTTTAAAATTTTAATTACTTGATTGGTGTATACTGGCGTCTTTGAAATACGACCTTGATTAATACCTATTATTCTCTGATTTTTGTCATTGATAAACAATTTACAAGATTTTGCTTTCAAAAGAGCAGTGGATCATAGTTCCAAGATTAATTTAGTCATATGGAATATCACTTTTGTGTTAGTCAGATTCGTCTGCGATATTTTCCTAGAAGGTTTAGTAATTTCTGATAGGGGATAGTTGGCAGAAAGCTGAGATAGCTATATATATCTGTTATGTAGGACAGGGATGGAACGTCATACTTATTCATATGAAATTATGGGCCGCTAAGTAACATTTCGAATTTCCCTTGATTTCTGCTAACTGGTTCCTGATACAGGTCTCTAGATTATATTTCCCCATCTCAACAATGGTTTATTCACCTGGCGAAAATATGTGAAACGTAGACGCATATGCCTAAGATAGACGTAAGATAGAATTCCAAGTTATAATGGACAGTCATATCTCGGTTGCATTACGAACCACTGCAGTCTTTGAGTCAATAAATATCATTCCACTACAAGTTTATACACTGACAAGCAGTCTTTCACGTTCAATTCGTACATGAACACTATCTATTATAGAAAAAATTCAGAAAGACGAACAAAGAACTCAGTTAGTTATTTGAAAATCTTGTTATGATTTTCCTTTGGGAGCCGGAATATTTAGATGACATATTAAATGCTCATCAAAGAAAACAGCGCTATACGGTCAGCCAGGATATAACATGATACGATAAGTTGGAAAAGTAGGCTGTTACCAATTGTTCAGTGGTACTTACATGTAGCGAAAGATACTTTGTGATTTTTAGTAGCATTATAATTATGTAGAAAATTTAATTGCCCATGTTCTCATGCCCATCTGAACGGGTTCTATTCTACGAAATTATCACACACGAGTGATTTGAAAAAAAAAATAGATGAAGTCGACTTTAAATAAGAAGGATTTCGTTCTGAAAACTACATTATTTTACTCTGAATAATTTTAGAATAACCAGAAGTGGCAAAAATGAAAAATGTAAAGTTAAACGATAGTGAAATGACATATACTTGGAAATATGATTCACACATTTGTGTACTTTTTTCTATTTAGTGACAATTGAGAATATTGAGGTAGGAAGAGGGAAAGAAAATTGCTAGTTACCAAAGGATTCAATCCTGGCTACTATAATCTGTCAGTTAGCTTGTCAAAGTTATAGTTGTGACCACAATGTTCATGGCTTCGAGTCGTTTGATTTTGTTTCTTCAGAGATGTGGTTTTGTTGAACGTATTCCAACAATTCATCCATTAATGACTTTAACTGAATGACATTCTTCGCAGGGTCTGCATCTGGATCATAGATCTGTTCTTGTTGGTGTGTTGCAGTAGTGATCAAAAACTTTTTACCCCATGCTGTTTTATGTAAACCAATCCACATTATAAACTGAGCTGCTATAAACTGTGTGATTTCATGGTCATCTGATTGTAGACTCAAATCTTGAAGGACCTTGTGAAAGCTTTCATCCAATATAGCAATGAACATACTAACCATAACAAATACAACGCATAAAGAGAAAGCAGCAAATAATAATGGACCCAGTACCATCTCTCTTTCATACATACTAGTGAAGTCGAATTTCCCGAGAATAATCTGCATACTTGTTTCTACAGCATTTAAAATTGTTCTAAAACCATCAAGTGTATCGGTGTATAAAAGATAGAAGACTAGTACAAATGAGGAAAAGATGACTAGAAAGATGAAACAGAAATACTTCAAGTCTTTCGCTGCATACCTTAGAACAGAGCCAAGCAGACCAACCCTCCGGTTAAAGCGAAACAGATACACAAGCTTTAACATCGCGAAAAAGCAGATTACAGCTGTTAAGTAGGTTAAATTTTCATTCCAATAGGCCAGTAATTGAAAGTTCATAAATACATTGCCATTTGTGCGTGAAAACTCCTCGACAGCTGACTGCGTGCTCAAAATCATATAAATGTATGCAGCTATGGCAGCTACTGAGCCAAATATTATGAATAATTCAATGAAATTCCAAAATTTCATGAAATATCCCAATCGTTGTTTGTATATATTTCTCAATTCTTTTATCAGATAACAAAACAGAATGAACACATACAAGCCCTATCAGAAAGAAGCAAAAGACAGGAAATTAGTACATTTCGGAAAATATTTTCAATAAAAGTTGAACGTATATGTTGCCACAGTGGATTTTTCGGAGCTGTCTCACCATCTTAAATACGACTGATTCGAACTAACTATTACCGCATGCTTTGCATAAGAATTCTAAGCCGTAAAAATGCATATGCTATATAATATCTTGAATTCAAATTGAGACTCTTTTAATTTAACACCTAGAGGAACAGCGAAAAATGAGGACTATCATTCGTATCACGTCATCTTCAGCTCATTTCGTAGTATGTCTTCGAGCCGATGTATTTGTATGTATATGTGTGTTGCAGATATCTCTTAAAAGTGACCTTGGTAAAATAAGAATGTTACTTGATCCAAGTTTTGACAGAAATGATTAATCTTATAGCAGGTATGCACATATTAAGGCTTGCGCTGAACATGTTGTCTAGAAGGACAACGAAAGCTTCTCAATTAAATCAACCAGCCAAGAGAATACAGTCAAATCAAAAAGGCTGTTTGTTCTTTTTTACGCCTAAATCGCCACAACCACCAGCCAATTAAAACTAGACCTAGCATTTCGAAAATATTCACATTAATAAACTTTTTGAGTTAATTCAAAAATAATTTGTTTTTTCAAGTATTGGTTTTGTAGGGATTTTGTTTGATTGCATGGAGGATTTAATCATGAGCTGACATCAGTTAGAGAACCATTGGAAAACCTGGGAGTACTGGACAACTGTTTCGTTTTAGTTTGGGGCTCTTCGGCAGTACGCACCCACTGGGATTCGAACCCAGGACCTTCTGGTTACAAGGCGAGCTCGTAGACCACTGAGCCACTGGGACCCAATCCAATGGTCCTTGAATTCTAAGTTCTGGCAATTTACGACATAGCGCGACCACTTCGCAATGTCTTCTTCGATGAGTTACTGCCTCATCTTCTAGAGGGAAGCCTTGACCAGTAGGGTACAGCAGGTTGAAGATGAGGCAGTAACTCATCGAAGAAGACATTGCGAAGTGGTCGCTCTATGTCGTAAATTGCCAGAACTTAGAATTCAAGGACCATTGGATTGGGTCCCAGTGGCTCAGTGGTCTACGAGCTCGCCTTGTAACCAGAAGGTCCTGGGTTCGAATCCCAGTGGGTGCGTACTGCCGAAGAGCCCCAAACTAAAACGAAACAGTTGTCCAGTACTCCTAGGTTTTCCAATGGTTCTCTAACTGATGTCAGCTCATGATTAAATCCTCCATGCAATAATTTGTTTATTCTGATCACTCTATATAGACATATTAAATTAATTTAAAATGCCATTTTCCCGATGGTATTGACTTCTGTGCAGTTCAATCAAGATTTTGCACTCAGTTTATTTGATTGTGTTTATGATGGCTTAATGTTTAAACTAAGTCATCATATTCCATCTAGGTAAAATTCTTCAAAGAATGTCATAGATATCCTGCAACTGGAGTTCCATTTAGCAACATGAAATCATGTTTAAGAAGTATGCATTACACAGGGAACAATCACTGTGTAGCTGATACAATTTATATTCTTTCTCCACAGATATTTAATTCTTACAAACTATGGTAGTTTATGCAGATTTTTGAGGTTAAGAAATATTTATCGAAAACATCCAGTTGCAGCAATGTATGCTTCAAATTTTCGCTTAAGACTCATACTGGAGTACTTGTATGAAAACACAGCAGTGAGCTGAAAGTATTCCAGTTTGCCAAGTAAGATGAAGATGAAGAAGTGTCGACTAAATATGGTCACTAAGTATGGCCGGTACCATTTAATACTAGTCTCTTCATACTTTTCTGAATCTCAAGTAGCAGAAAATTTAAACCCTGCCCGGATAGCATTTGGATCGTATACATGAGGATGTTTTAAACAAATTCCTTATATCTTCCTAAAGAACAGTTTACTGAAGTAAAGACAAGAATTTACTGGCATATCTTGTTCGAAGTAATCAGCTGTCCAACTGACATTCTGAAGTAATGGGTTGTTATGACTGCAAAATGGAGGACTGTATTGTTATGATTTACATCATACATCTCTGTTAGTTACAATATCATGCTAGATTTCTAGTCCTCTATAATCGAATAATATTTCATAGTAATTAAGTCACGGTCTTTGAACATCGTTTAAAATACTATTGGTTTAACTTAGGTTGATAATATAGACCCGTTTATTGAGTTCTTATTTGTGTTATCTGGTAACAATGGCGAAATAAAAACTAAAATATATTCAGGTTAAAAAGGAATTTGAATCTGATTATGAAAAATAAACAGCGATAGGACAGATAAAACATATTTTCAAGAATTGAGTATATTCCATTAGATCATTATATATATATATATATTGTGGAGGGAAAGCTGACTGAATTTATTTACTAAAATAAGTATGGATAGGTGAATATTTCGTTTGTGAATAAATATTCCTAGTGTATGCGTGATATATGAAAATCCAAGGATATCAAACCAGGTAAATGCCTTAATTATAAATAGTATGCTGTGCTTTATGTTAACACTTCTTCAGTGATTATCTTATATTTGGATTTTTATAGTTTTAAGGGTCCACAGTAATCTTTCGTTTAAGCATCGGTTAATTGTTTTTACAAAGAGATTACAGCCAATCCAAAGCTACATATGATTTCTTAAACTTGCTGCATAAGTAACTTTAGTTAAGATAGGTTATATCCAGATTCTCCCGAAGAATCTAATACATCATAAGAATAAACATAAATTTAATTATTATCATTCTATATCTTATCAAAACGTTGTTATTCTGAGCGAAGCCTCGATTCAGTGTAGGCGTGTATTCATTCTAACAATAGACACACCTACAATAAATTGTTATCACAGTTTAAAATACAGGACTTATATGATTGCAACTTGAAAAGAAAGAATTAATTTCTAAACAAATATAGCCAATTGCTTTGCAATGCAATTTCTTTGGACTACAGTGATGGCAAACAGAGTGAAGGATATTCAATCCTTAGGCATGACTGTCACATTTCCTCTTCAATCTATGCATTATGATTGTTCAATTCAATTTTCATTTTGAAAATTTTATCTGAGAAACACTCATGTATGCATGAGAAATGAAAGAATACAAACAAACACTGAAATAGATTATGCCTGTACATAAAACTAGGGTAAATATTCTTACCTGGAGTGTTAACTGTGCAGTTTTAGTTTCCGATCCACTTGCTCCGAATAAGTTGGCTGTTTCAATACGATATGTTGGTATTAACGAACCAGTGCCAGGCATTTCAATCAAAACAGTTACAATCGCAAATAAATTGATATTAGGATTATAAGCCGTGAACTGTATAATGACGGCTCGTGTGGAAAATTCAATCCAATGCATTTCTTTTAATTTACTCAGTTTGGCTAGCATTTCTTCTTTTGTACCTCTTAACAAGTGAACATACCCACCACCTGAATACCAAGTGATTAGTCCCAAGTATGGATAACCTTTCAGTTGCGATGCAGTTTGATAGACGTATTCTGGTGCAGAATTGTTAGATTTCTCATTGCCTTGGAAAGCGACCCAGGATATTCCATAGTCTGCTTTATCTTCTTTAAAAATATCATAAGTCGCGTAACAATGTTTAAATAGATGCATGGCTAAGTTGTGTACGTTGCATGAATCTGTTCAGTTAGAGAATATGAGTTGTTACAAAGTACAAAATGAAGAACAGCCGTATTAGTCAGATAGATTTTAACATAATAATCATTACTTTATTACAAACAAGAATTTTTTCATACAAAATGGAATTTTCAACAGTTGTCCACATTACAGCAATTTACCTTTTATAAATATATAAATACATAAAGTAGTGAAAATTGAGAATTAATGGAAGAATAACATAAGTAACAATAATTGTTGTTATAATTTGATACTTTTTTACTGACTAAAAAGTTCATAAGCTCTTTCCTAACATTCGCCTCTCCACACAAAGCCAGTGCTAAATATAGTGTGCTTGAATTTTTATATTTTTCCGTACGACCATAAATTCCTGTGTAATTTCTTGTTTTACCCAAAGAGATACAAGAAGAAAGTTAAAAATAAAAAAGATCTATAGTATCAGAAAAGAATTAAAGTGCCTTTTAGCAACAGTGTCAGTTAGCTGAGTCACAGGCATACCACCACCCACGGTTATAGCCTTCAGTGTCTAACGTAATATGACATAGTCTTACTATAGGTATTAACTGACAAACAGTGTGCTCACCCTGATATGTATCCACATATATATATTTATGTGTGTGTGTGCATGTTGGTCTCTCTTTCTGTTTGCTCGCTTAGTCTGTGACCATTTCACTTGTGTGAACTTGTCTCCTTTATTAATGTGTATTCTCCTTATATTATATTATATATAATATGAGTGTTTGTTGACAGTCCGTTGCTTGGTGACATATATCCATATTTGTTTGTTGGCATGTCTGCTATATTCGCTATGTATGTTTGGATCGACACTCCATTATAATTAGCCATTCATGTTAAGACTGTCTAATGATTTTTCCCACGCTTTGTCTGGAACATTCATATATATTTCGCATTCACAATCTTGTGACTTTACAACTACTTTACTTTACTTACTTACCACTTTGGTGTGAGACCATTTATTTTCGTCTCCTTGTGTTTGGACAATAGAAGTATCATCGCAAACCTAGTGGTCTTCTGATTTCCGCCTTCTCGCGTCAGGACTATTAGTTTCTCGACCAGTCCATAACAATAACTTAGCGACGAGTACATAACACACCCTTTAACAGATTTATGTGTAAAATGACAGATGCAGATGTTCCGTTACTAATCTGTCAATCACGGAACCTTTGATTCGTCTGCTTTCGACAGTCTTCGACTCAAGACTTCAATCACTGGTGAAGGGAACTTTTATTGATAAAGGGATCAGGACATAACTTTGTCGCCTTTAAATAGATAAGACTATGTAAAGGAGTGAATGCTCATGGGCAGTCGTGGACCTAGTTGAAACTGATAACAGAAAACAAAGAGCGATAGCTATTTATCAGTCATAATGTGGGGAGTGAGTAATAGCCATAATAATTTCATTTACGACATATTTTGATAGTGTTACTGGAAGTCATTTAAAAATCTTTTTGAAAAAGATTTGGTGATTTCTAAAATAGTCACCTAAAGCCTGAATCCTGGGTTCCTATTGAAGCAGAGATGTGTCATCTGTCTAACACTCATTGTCATTAAAGGCTCTATAGGTGACATAACTTTCGGATAAAGTCTTCTTTTTAATCTATTTTGTGGTGGTTGGTATACCCTTGTAGGCTTTTTACACTTGATATCGCTTACTACATTAGTTTACATATATTTTCATAAACTTATTATTTCAATCAGACTTTAGTGACAAGTTTTGAGACATTACTCTTAAGTTATTTGGGCTGTGTATCTAAATAGTTTTCAGATAAGCATCGCTTTTAACAAGTAAGTACGGGTGGTACTGGTAAAGTATTAACCAAAAATGATTTGTAAACCATCAGCTCAATAATTCAAAATCTCGATAAACTTATGCTGCGTATAGCCATTTTAATAATATTAATAAGGCAAGTAGGCATTCAACAAAAAGATTTCAGCAACTAATTATAAATATAACCTCACCTAGATTACTAGCTCGATAATTTTCTAGCCGATCCCAAGTTCGGATAAAGAGGGAGGGTTAGGGCGTGGTGCTAGCAACTCCACCACCATAACTTAACCAAAATGCTACAGAAACTTCAACGCATGAATATATTAAAAATTCTAAAACTATAAACAATAATCGTATTTTTCGCTGGGATCGGAGAAGTGAAATGACGCAGGCTGGTGAAAGCCTTCGGGAAGTCAGTCAGCCGATGTGCCTTCTTTCGATGAAAGCAAAAATAAGGATGGGTACGTGGAATGTTCGTACAATGTACGAAACTGGAAAGGCTGCCCGGATAGCCACAGAAATGGGAAGATATAGAATAGAAGCGTTGGGAATTTGCGAGAGCAGATGGAACGGATATGGTAGGTGCCAACTATCAACTGGAGAGACAGTTATATATTCCGGTCAACCAGGGGACAACCACAAGCACACCGAGGGAGTGGCCATCATGATGTCACCAACAGCAACCAAAGCTCTCATGCAGTGGGAACCAATCTCCTCCAGGATAATGACAGCCAGGTTCAACTCAAAAGGAAGGAAAGTTACAGTCATTCAATGTCAATGCTATGCGCCTACAAACGTCTCAGAACAAGAGAAGAAGGAGGCGTTCTACAGACAACTACAAGCAATAATGGACAACGTCCCAAATGGCGATATCAAAATCCTGATGGGCGACATGAATGCGAAGCTGGGAGGAGACAACACAGGAAGAGAACTCACCATGGGTCGTGAGGCCCTCGGCGAAATGAACGACAATGGTGAACTCTTCTCAGACTTCTGCGCCTTCAATGATTTGGTGATTGGCGGTAGTGTGTTCAAACACAAGGATATACACAAGACGACATGGATTTCACCAGATGGAAACACCAAGAACCAAATAGACTTCATCTCAATTTCAAGAAAGTGGAGACGGAGCCTACTGGACACAAGGTCGAGGAGAGGAGCAGATGTGGGTTCAGACCACTATCTAGTAGAAGGGACTTTCAAGGTGAAACTAAAAGCCTCGAGGATAGCTGGGGATAGGCCACAATGCAAGTTCAACACTCAATTACTGAAGGACACAACCACAAAGGACACTTTCACTGCAACTGTCAGAGCAAAGCAGGAAACACTACGCGACATCACTGAAGAATCATGCGTGGAAGAACATTGGAAGTCTCTGAAGGCGATTCTCAACGAAACGTGTTCAACGGTTCTAGGAAGAAAGAAGAGACAAGACAAGGAATGGCTCTCAACGGACACTTGGAAACTAATAGAGGAGAGGAGAATGGTGAAAGAGAAAATGATTCAATGCAAGGACGGACAGGAGAAGGAGACGCTGAGCTCAACTTACACAGCACTGGACAAAGAAGTGAAGAAGAGTGCTAGGAAGGACAAAAGACGATTCTACGACAACCTGGCCACTGAAGCTGAGAAGGCAGCAGGCAAAAGGGACCTGAGGACATTATATCAGATAACCAAATCTCTATCCGGGAAGAGATCAACACAAGCGAAACCTATAAAAGACAGCCAAGGGAACCCAATTACCAAGGAAGAAAGACAGATTAAACAATGGGCGGATCACTTCAAAGGACTCTTGAACCGATCACCACCTGCAACCCGTCCAGAAATACCAACAACAGCGCGTACACAACTGCAAGTTGACACCAATCCTCCAACGAAAGCTGAAGTCTTGAATGCAATCAAGCTTCTGAAAGCTGGAAAAGCAGATGGACCAGATGGAATACCCCTGAAGCACTGAAAGTGGACCCAGAGACGACAGCAGACATGCTGACTCCATTATTGCAAAAGGTCTGGAAGGAGGGAAAGGTGCCTACTGACTGGAGGAAAGGTTACCTCGTGAAACTACCAAAGAAGGGCGACTTAGGCCCACTCTGCAAGAACTGGCGAGGAATCATGCTCCTGTCGACGCCAAGTAAAATCCTGAGTCGCATCATCCTGGAGAGAATAAAGGACGCACTGGATACAGAACTCCGACCAGAACAAGCTGGATTCAGGAAAGTCAGGCAAATCATGTTCTGACCAAATTGCAACTCTACGCATCATCATCACAGAACAAAGCATGGAATGGCAATCAATCAAACCTCTACTTCAACTTTATAGACTTTGAGAAGACCTTCAGACAGCGTTGACCACGAAATAATTTGCAAACTACTAGAGTACTACTACTCGCATACCCCAAATATTCATCAGTCTTATTCAGCAGCTGTACGATAACGGCACATGTCAAGTGATCCACAACGGGAAAATCAGTGAGGCGTTTAGAGTAAACACAGGAGTCAGACAAGGGTGCTGGCTTATTATCACCAATGATATTCCTAATAGTGGTGGACTGGATTATGCGTCAGACAGTGGGAAACGAGAAGACAGGGATATCCTGGACCGAGCGACGTGAAGAACCTAGAAGACCTGGATTTCGCGCGTGGATGATTTATGTTTGATGTCACACAAAATCGAAGACTTACAAGCGAGCGAAAACCGACAAACTGGTCGAAGAAGCAGAGAGTGAAGACAGGACTCCAAGTGAACATAGACAAGATGGAGGTGATGAAAATAACCAACCAACAACAGCAACATGCAGTGCCATTCACCATCAACGGGGGGATTTGAAAGGGGTTACTTTATTCACTTATCTAGGGAGGGAGCATTGTCTCAACTACAGGCAGTCAGAACGGACGAGAATGTCAAATCGAGCGAGAATCGGGAAGGCGAGAAACACATTCATCAACCTGAAACCAATTTGGAAATCTTCGTCACTCAGTTAGCACCAACAACAAAATTCGTTAGGATTTTCAATACAAATGTCAAGTCAGTTAGTTCTTCTATACGGATCAGAAACTTGGCGGGTGGGTCACAAAGAATATTTCCAACAGCCTCTTGCAGAAGTTACCTTTATCAACAACTGTCTTCGCTGTACACTGAAGATCAGATGGCCGGGTCGGAAAGAATCACCAACAAGCAACTATGGGAACAAACCAACAGGCAAGAACTAATCGCCCAACAAATATGCAGGAGAAAGTGGAGGTTGATTGGACACTCCCTGAGGCTGGAGGCCGCTGGGTGACATCGCGCGCACGTCAGGCCATTGCTCGAGTGGAACCAGGCCGGAAGGGAAGCGGCGAGGGTGACATGGAGGAGATCGTGTGAAGAGGAGTTGAAACATTATGGACTAACATGGATGCATGTGAAAAGTACAGCAGGAAACAGAAGCAAGTGGAGACGTGCAACTGAAGCCCTATGTCCCACTAGGAACCCAAGGGAACAATAATAATATCATTATAAACATGCTATTCCAACATGAAAAATACTGCCTTATATGTACCTGGTTTCGTTCTCACTTGTCTCATCATTGCGTAACCAATAATTCGATCAGCCCGATCTGCCAAAAATCCCCGTTGGAATAATGGTGGGTTGCCATTATACCATCGATCTACACGTAGACCAGGAATTAATACCCCATTACACCATTTATAGAAGTCGTCCACAGTAAGAATCTGTCAAGAAAAACGTAGTTTTTTTAAATATTTTATTCTAGCAAACTATATGAGTTTGTGTTGTCTATTCAAAGGCACGTCACGTTTTTCTGTAAAGTGTCCATTTTGTTTCAGTGATAATTAGCATGAATTGTGAGATGAAAACGGATTTTAATCCTGCTATACAGTGCAGTCAGTCTAATTTTTTAGCTAACTTATTGTGACTACATTCCCTGAACAGAGAGTAAGGCCAAATTTTTACGTGATAAGTAGTTATCTTACTACTTGCGCGTATCAGTTCATACATAAATGTCACAGAGCTACCAAGCCTTATGTGATTTAGTAGGATTTTTCGCGGAACATATCTAGGTAATTATTTTAGTCCACTATAAGTGAAATGTACAACTGACTTGGAATTGATAGTGATTAGGTTGCATAAGACCAACCGAAAATATACCAACTTCATTTTGGTCTAATTATTGCTCGTTTTATAATCAAACGAAAAACAATGCACTTTAATTGTACTAACTATTATGCTGTAAATTTAACTTAATCAGTTACCGAGCTTAATTTAACTCATGTTCTTCAGGTTGACAGTAGACTCTGTGTTGAATAATAACAAGAAGATAGCTTGTGATCATTGAGCAAAACTTCAATTTCTTTGCTAAATTATCTCTTTACCAAGATTTAAATTCCGAAAAAAGATAACAGGATGCTACATGGAAGTTGGTTACAGGTTGATCAGGGTGTGGGTAAGAAATCGGTTGTGTTTGGCTTATTTTTGAAACTAATCAAATAGTTGAATAATATGCCCAAATATTGTTGATTATGTAGAAATAGAAGACTAAATATATACATTCAGAATTACACAGTGTGTTGCAAAATAGCATCGTATTCCAAAAAAGTGAGCACCAAGAGAAGTTTGCAGCCTGCTTAAATCTCTGAGATATCAAAATGTCCATCCATTATAATTCGGAAACTCTTTTTCACTTGTTGTTGTTCTAATCAAACAGTTATATCAACTGCACACGTTTTTAATTGGATTTCAACAATAAAACAGAGTAAAGATAAAGGCCGTAGGTAGGTATTTTCGTGTGTATTATAGGAAATACTGCAGCGGATATTTCAGCTGTGCATAAAAGTTAATATAATACCTCTGAAACAGCCAAACACAACATTTGTTATCATTAAAGCATTCCTCTGGTCAAATACCTGCGGCAATTCAAGTAGGAACTGATCACGTCCATTTTACCTACACAAATATACTACGACGAAAGCCTGCAAGTCTGATTTGCGATGATTTATATTCTTACCCACAAAATACTTGAAGGAAATGAAGGAGGACTATCATAGAGAATTGAGTCTTTATTGATATGCAACAACACTGCGTCACATGCTATACTGCAGATTAGTATTTTACCTGTAGATCCTGTACGAAGACAAAATATTTTGTCGAATAAGTTATAATTATATTCGAATAGTTTACAGAATGATAAGTTTTTGTTCTGGTAATTTTGCTCGAAATATTACCAGAACAAAAACTTATCATTATATGCAAACTATTGAAACATAATAATACCTTATTCACTCTATTCTACAATGCCCAAACTTTTTTTACTAACAATAAAATATTTTGTAATTAAATACCCTAAGAATTTCCGTGTTAATATATTGTCCGAAATAGAGCTTTGCTATTAATGTACTGTTATTAATATTGATATAGTTATTATTGATATTATTATTTGCTTTTCACTGTTGATGACTTACAGCCTCTTTGATATAACCTTTTCTCACCTAGATGTTGCATTATAGTTTAACCATCTGGTAGTATGAGGGGTTTCACCTCAGTAATTTGCTTACTTATTGTCAGATAAACCAGATAAACTAGAAATGCAATCTCCAATTCTTTATCTAGTCCATTTTATTGGTAGAAGTGCCTTAATTAATGGATAAAGACGTGGAAATTCTAAATATCTGAATATAAAGGCAGAGATGAATCTTATGCTGAAGTTTGCTGCGCCCATACAGATCCCCAGTAACATATAATATTTGAAGGCAAAAACCTCTAACTTGTGAAGAAATTATATAACATAGTCTAGTTTTTATGGCCGACAGTAAGTTTTTGCTTAGCTTAAAGGTACTTTTGAGGAAGAGCACATTGTTTAATATTTCTTATTTGCTGCCATTCTGGTTGGGTTGATTTCATGAACCTATTTTGGTAATTAAACTTCACCATCCGGAAAAATTTACATGCTTGCTCAAAGTCAGTATTACAAAACTGTCCAAATATTATGTTCACTTAAAAACTCACTAACCTTCTGAAAATCACCTGCGAAAAATGAATTCTGTAGACTGGATTTTAAAAGGAATGCATTAGGATCACGAAATTGTATACTAACTGCTAACAGCAGTACGAGAAATACTACGTAAAGTACAACTTCTCTAGTGACGTCACTAGCTTTCCGTTGTTTCAGCCTATAAGCTCGCGCGCGTGCCAAGTCTGCTGGATCTGGAGGCAAGATTACAAGACGATGTGGGCGAAAATCTGAGAGCACTAGAAAAGAAAATACTTTATTTATTGAGAAGACAAGAAAGTGAGTTAATTATGCAGAAATCTAATTTTACATAATTTCTTTCACTAAGTACGTTACTAGAAGGTAATTCTACAAAAACTTAATGCCGCCATCTCATGTTGGAATTCGGTTGTTAGAAGTCACGAATCTATATTGTGCGATGGAAAATAAAGTGTACCTGGCGTGTGGGGATACATTTTATCTTGCTCATTGCTTCACATGAAATTGTTGGTGCATTCATGTATAGCAGATATAGATTTTAACCAAGTATTGTTGAAAGACAAAGAATCCACACCTGGAATTCAGCAAAAGTCCCGTGCGACACTTAGTAGAAAAAGATTGTTTGAAATCATACCTAATCACTGAGGGAGGCATTCGTGATATCGGACACTCAATATCATTTTGCGAGACAGCAGTACACTAGTTACCACTGGACAAATGACTCAGGCGATTATCAAATTATAGAGCCAGTTATCTCCATGAGATGCATAACTATCACTACGCCTGTATGTAGTCTTCCTGGAATTTTTATTTCCTACTTTTACACATTTTCGCTACGCTTATTATTACTTTAAATATTATTACTATTATCGCGATAATCCGTATTTAACATTTTTTTCTAGCTGCTATCTTTGAAAATCTGACTGATATCCCACAAGGAAGTGTAAAAAATGTATTTTGAAAATTCGATTTCTATAATTTAAATGTTATTCACACAAATGAAGTAATTCGTTCATCATTATCTTTTTAGGAAGTTGGTTGCCAAATGATAAGAAGGACTCGTTTTTCGTCAACCTTTATTGTGCAGCTATCTGCTGATATCAGTGTATTGATATGAGGCCTGTAATAACTAGATACTTTTGATCATTAAATTATAATTCGAAAACTAATCATCAGCTGTTAGTGATTTGGAATTAAAATAAATTAAGAAAACAAACTGTGTGTAAATAGTGAAACATTGAAGTGTTTACTTACAGTAGTCCTTATGCAAGTATTCCTCATCCATTTGTAGCTGATAACGCTTGCCTAACGTTTGAATCAGGCGATCCTCTTCTTCGAGCAACTGCAACTGATCCAATCGGTCAGGTGATTTGCAAGCAAATGAGCAGAACATAGCCAACAACAATACCTACAGGGTGAAAAGCATTAAAAAGCTACTGCTGTCTTTTAGCTGTTAAATTCATGCACTTCACAGAATTGCAATTAATAAAAGCTTTTTAATACCAGACATCGGCAATTAATCTTCAGGAAGCCTCATTTAGTATGGTAGGGAAATGTTAAAGTGTCAATATTTACAAAAAAGATTGAATTCTCAGCAACATTTGTACTAATTTAAGGGATGCAGAAGACAGTGCCGAATCAAATTTGAAAGGTAAGCAAGAATTAAATCCTCAATTTTCAAATTGATTTTTGAGGTGGAATTTCACCACAGTTTTCTTTGGAAACCGAAATTATTCATATCATAATATGTGGTCTGTTTGATAACATTAAGTAGTAATCCAGAAAGCAAGCCGTGTGAAACCTGGTACACCGCTGGTGTGTTGTGTCCCAAACAGTCAGAATCGCTGTCCGGTATTTAAATCGCATATATATACCTGACATACACTAGTAATGATTGTGAAAGGTATTCAGCTCCTCAGCTCAATGGTTTAAACAAGGATTAGTTGATTTTATATAAAAGATAAATCATACGATTTAATGATTGTTGAATACTTGAACTTCTTTAGATGTTAGGGAGCCAGATTCTTACCATACCACAGTGACAGTATGTTGACGATAAATGAATCTTTGAGTTATTTCAGTGTTCATGACCACCCATATTCAGTAATAATCACATAATTTAAGTTGAGTAACTTATCAATAATTGTAGAACTGACTCATATATTTAATACATAAAGTGAATTAAATGAAACAATATGTCATATATTTTCTACCTTAACTGGTTGTGCTAAAAATATATTTATAAAGAATGACAGGAACAATGAAGAAAGCCACTTTTTGCAGGTATCTTCTCCAAACATCACACCGTAGAATGTAGTGAAGGCAACAGCGGTAGCCAAGCATAAAATAAGCAACAACCAGGCAAGTATGCGGATTTGCCATCCACAAAAACAGCTGAACCCTTTCTCTTAAACATTCCCTCTCCAGTGTTTTCAATTGGTGCTTCTGGACTACACGAAATTAAAAAACATATGAAAAGAAAAAATTCAAGAACAAATATGGGTTTCATTACACTGTAGAAATCTTTATCAGATTAAATGTTCTTCCCATACCGTAAGTAAATAACTTATACATTTATTTAGGCTTTATAACTCTCACAAAATGGTTTAATACTACTTTGATTGTTTATGTTGTTTTTATATCTACTGTTTATTTTTTTCTAATGATGACCGAGCAAAAAATCCAGTAGGGACACCCTCACCAACTGTAATGTATAGAAATCAAGTTGACGAATACTTAATAGGACCAAACGTGTATCCCAGTTCCAAACGTCTCTATTCCCTTCAACATAGTCAAATTTCTTGCATAGTTAATATGAAATTTGTTGTCCAGAATGAAAATCTGATTTTCAAGACGAACTGCCAAGCTTTCAGCTTTCGAAAATAAACCAAATTATTTTCCTGTGCTACATATCTTTATCATGTTAATATTTTACCGTTAAAAGTAGATAAATTTCTTCTCGGATCAGTGTCATTAACAGAATTACTAAAAACTTTGGAGTGCCGGTTTTCTAAATGGTGATAATTTGTGAAGAAATCTAGCTTGAAACCAATGACATTAAAAATAAACCTACTCATTCTGTTTGCCTCTCTTGGATGGAACCAGGTGGTTGGTATAAATGAATGAAGCTTCGCCGAGATATAATTTCTCGTCCAAGTGTTCTTCGATCACATCCAGTAGTTTAGTTGTATGACTGACACGTAGGCTTGAGTTACGAAATATATACATGATTAAGAATAAGGGGATGAATGTCAGCACATTGTTGACAATTGCAACATAAAGCTGTCTCAAAATAAAAGAGAATTGAAAGGGAAAAGGAAAATCAACCGATTAGTATTAAAAACACAAACCAAACACAGATAGTTAGGAAAAGTGTTAATTTAATCTACTGAGTTAAACAGGAGTAAAATAAGGACCTGTATACTAGTTTGTTCGAGATTAATAGATCATAACTACAATTATAAGTTAAGTGATCTACTGCACATTAGATTCTTGGCACTTAAGTACAAAATTCACAACAAAATATGAAGGCAGTGAAAGTAATTGTTTTTGGGTGGCAGATAAAACGTTAGAATTTCAAGATTTTCAGCACAAAAGTGGATCACTTAAAAATTCTCTGATAAAACTATTGGTTTTAGGACTGAATATAAACAAAAATATATTGGGAAACAAGTTTTAAGAGCTCATGGTGTGCAATTTTCTTGCGAATGGTTATTAATATCTGCCAAAAGTTTAGACTGATTGACTAACAGAAAGTTAAAAAGGCCTATTGGGTGTATAAAAGTCGCTGCATGTCATTTACATAAAATGAAATTGCGTTCACAAAAAGAAACACTTTTAATTGAGATATTCACCTTGACAATAAACACAAACAAGAATTTATCACCATCTAATAATCAAATTTTTGAGGGAAATATTTGATACAACTTCACCATGGAAACTACAAGGTCCTAATACGAGAAATTTGGAAATGAGAATAAGTACTTGTGTTAGCAGTTATTCCCAAGGTGGCATATACAGTTGAAAATTGTTTTGATACTTAGGCCACAATTGCTCATTTCGTGCATTTGACGTTATTCATGTAAATTAATGAGAAGTGTCAAGATAGAACTGAACGGCTGTATTCCATGTTCTCGTAATCGGTGATGAGACAGAGTTCACTTGAGTGCAGTTTGGTGGAGAGGAACTTATAGAAATTCTTGATGAATGCATATTGGCATTCATCAAAGAGAAACTTTTCTGTCTTACATCTGTAAGACTACTTTATCAAGAAAATTTCTAAACGATTTTACATAAACTCAGGCCCTGATAAATGAGGAGGCAGTTACCTTTTGCTGCAAACAGTTTATAAAAGAGTTATTCTAGGGAAAATCAACCAGAAAACACTAAGTTATTCGAAAGCATGGGAGATAAATATTAAATATATGAACTCAAAAGATTTTGAAGTCAGAAAATGTTAAGTAATGAATTCAAGCTAGTAAACTGACCTCAGTAGCAGTGAATCCAAATGGTCCGATACTAAACAAATTCGGCTGTTTTACAGCTCCTTCACCCTTATAGAACATGCATGAACCCAGCATTGATAAATACAGTAATAGCAGACAACAAGCAACTCTTTCCACACATGTGAATCGACTTTGAGGTGGCCTGGCGACAATTGAAACCCACAAATGATCTTCAGATATATTGCGAGAAGCTGTAATGCTGAACATGTGCTTGAAAGTCAACAGTTCTTCCTGACTTGTCACTGGAATAAGGCGATCAACCTAGAGGATTGTTCGTTTTGAGAAAAAAAGTAAAATTGTCCTAGTCACAATGGAAATATCACTGATTCAAGGTCAGCAAATTAATGAATTCCTTATCGGCTTATTTACTTATTAACCTTATTATTTGAAAAACATGTGGGATGTTTGCTTGAACGTCTGTGAGTAAGCCAGGCCAACCTTCCTAGCTAACTTAGAATTTCTGTATTTTTAGCTATATTCCAAATATGTAAGACTCCAGGAAGGGAAAACGTCTTCATACAGTTCAAAGCATTAGTGTACATCAACATTCACGCCAATAATCCTACGATTTGTTCTGTTTTCCCACTGGTGTCACTCAAAGTATTTCTAATTCATCTTTATCATACTCAAGAGCTAAAGTTTGCCGGTATATTCAGCTAAAACCGTTGTTTATGACTTCAACTTTTGTGAGCTGTACGAAGCCTAATAATTATTGTTCATTTGCAATATTCTTCTTCCATAATATCAAATTATCTAAAGCGTGAATTATTGTGCAGAAGTGGCTATTATTTCCCTTTGACACGCCAAAGTATTAATTAATTGTTGAATACTAGCTATGTAACACCTGTCTTCAGTTGCCACGTGAATTCATCAAGAAGCTTTCTCTCACAAACAACTGTCACGGGAAAAAATTCATCCTAATGCCAGTCGTGCTACTTGATTATATATAAGGTCGCATACTTATTTCACTCTCATAAAGTGTGTGATGTTCTCTGCCCTGCTGACAGTTTATTAGTTGCACAAGTAACAGTGCTTTAGCTGTAAATTATATAAGGGTTAAACTCCTCTTAATACTAGGATTAGATGTAACGAAAATAAATGCAGCATATTTTGATAGTTTAGTTTAATGAATACAATTCCGATGCAGTAAGTGAAGTTGAATAAGACACTTATTCAAGATAATTACCCTGTAGATATTTTTACAAGTGCTATTCCTATAGTTTATTCACATTCTTCGTTTTGATACTCAAAAATAATGATCATCTAACTGTAGAGATCTTTTTTTATATAGCCTTTGCTGATTAATTATGTGTCCGTTATTTGTTGTTTTGTGACTAAGGCATTCACATCCAACATTTGTCTGACTCATTCATGTAAATGAAGATTACTAGTGTAACTAAATGAAGGAGTAGTAAAAAGAGCTAATATTTCGATTAAAGCACTCATAGTCCAAACATATCACGTAACAGGCATTAATTAATCGTTTTCCACAATCTGACATAAACTTTAAAAACCATAGGCCATTAAATACTTTAAATAACAAAAGTCATAACAGCTTGACTCGAATACACAGAACCATGTCGCCAAAACAAATAAATGTAGTTATTACTACTAATACTACTGGTATTAATAACGACAGTGTGACCTCTTTTTAAATCTACAAATTCTCGAGCACCATATTGCGTCAAACCTTTCTACAAGCCTTTTTATCCTTTATCAGGCAAACTGATGCGTTACTATTATTTTTACGCCTTATTCTTCCTAGGGCTTCTAAAAAGAGACTATGTAGCATTACCTGGGACTTTGAAAGCTGTAAAGAGGGTTAGTGGTATTCATGCGACTAAACTAACTGACATTATTGTCATTGACAGGCATTCAAATTTGTGCAAGCAACTGGTTGAGGTAATTTTATCAGATACTGAAAGTCCTGATTACTTATAGGTTACCAGTTTAGGTCTCCTCGGGAAAAACAACAGCAGTTTTGTTAGAATAAGGATTCAATCAAGCTGCATTTGGTACGGATATTGTATGAAGAAAGATGTATCACAAAACAACTAACAAAATAATCTAAACAGTACTCAAATAGGTGTCACATGAAAGGTGTTTATGTCTAACAATCTTTCATGTCACTAATACCTACACTAATATTGTTCACGTGGTTACTTCTTTGGATCTAATTTGCATAAGAAATAAATTATTTGCACTATATAATTTACTGTATAAAAATAATTTTCAGAATACGTTGATCGTTATTATTAATGAAGCCTCACAGACAATAATTTATGGTCTATTCTCCCTTGTACTATTAAAATTTCTGTAAATAAACCTTTTATCTTCCTGGACGACATTTTTAACATTCACTTACCCTCTGGAATACACAAATGCAACCTATTTCATTTGGTTTTTATTTGTGTCAAAATGTGTTGATGTGATCTTTGCAGTCAGAATAAATGAAATTCATTTTGAATGTCAATAAAGAGAATTCATATATACATATATGTCTTTGTTATTTGGTATCGCTTATTTTGAACTTAATTTTCCCTCTGGATATTTGATATGAATTACAAAGTATAATATTTCGGAATATTACCATTAACACACAGGATGTCACCTGTATTCTGATGAGAAAAAACTTAAATATTAAATCTATCTGGTTTAAAATCCTCTCTTTGTAATGAATCTTAATGTTCACGTGAAATATTTATTTCTTATCTGATTCGAAAATATTAGGATTGCCATAATTTCGATGTCGGTGCCACAGTAAACTCTTAACTTTAGGATACTTTCAACGACTTACTTGACCATCACCTTCTTCAACTGCAAACCAACTTTCAACAATGAAGTGTGACTTCTCTCTCGTCTGCAAATCTACCACTCCAACGTAATTGCAATACCAGGATGCTTTATCGCCTACACCAGAGTTATCATGCCACAAACGAATGTAAATTAGTGGTCCGAGTGACCTATGTGATATGAAGTAGAATACCGAATAGGAAATTAATTAAAATTAAAGTGATAAATTTGTTCACGTATTTTAATTAAGAAGCTTTCTTGATAAAATTAATAGCATATTTTTAGTCCAGTGGTAGGACATAATCCAATATTGGATGAGTGTATTTGACTTAGCACATAGTGATACATTGTTATTAACTGGATGACCTATCCAGCAGAGTTTATCTGTTATGATCATATCGTACTTGTAACTTCTTAATTAGTTTGATACAGTTTCCCATTATCTTGTTTTCAGTGAAAAATTACGTATATCAACAGCTGGTGATTCATCATCTTTGTCATATGTATTCGGTGTTGACTCATTGAACCAGGATTCTGAGACTAACCCCTCCATGTATAAATAAATAACTTTTAACACGATTACCTTATGGGTACATATAAGAATACTCATAGCAAAGACCCGACTATTTTACCAAATTACTTATCTTGCGGGTGCCTATCTTTATAAATCTAACTGAATTCCAACCGCTTGATGAACTGACTCACCCTAATCTAGTGGTTCGACTTATGTATTTAGCATATTTTGCATAGTTAAGTAATTTGGATCATGGAGCGGACCGAGTTTGTTTTTCAGTCAGGTTTCTGGTATCCTGCTCCAGGTGCACAAAGCTCTAAAGGCGGAATTTGTGCCTATTACACTTGAGTATGAGAAGCTTACTTAAACTTCTTGAGGTAATTCTTTTCATACTCCATGCGGTTACCATATTTAGTTAAATTCAAACATATGCATAACATAAGGCAAAATATAGACATGTCTAGTTACAGAAACAACACAAAATCAAATCGAGTTAAGAAAGCAGCCACTATTTCCAAACACCCTATGGTTCGGAGAGATTTATTACTAATGAATTATGCTGCTATGAGTCACGTCTTTATTCAGAAAACAGAAGCGGTTAACACGCAGGAGGCGAAGATTTTTGTTGTTTTGCACTCAAAAATCCAACCAAAGCCGTAAGACATCTGTTAGACTACAATGTCTGATACATCATGTACATACTACTGAGTGGCTGATATGAATATCTGGATTCAACTCACATCAACCTATGGTGCTTACTAGTCAAACCGAAGAGACTTGGAATCACATTGTATCTGACAGTCTGGTCCTTGAGTATGGTTTCAGTAACCCCTATATGAATCAAGTATCACACTGTATCTTGAATGAGTTCAGTGTAAAAACTTCTGAATTTAGTTTTGAAAATGTAGTTATTAGATAGGAGGAGTAAGCAGAAGGTTATGGGGATTCGAAAAGCCAATGACTGAAGTCAAACGGGACTACTGGATAACTTCACGTTGTTTTAGGCTAAACTATCCACCCTTAAACAACAGCATAACCAAGTCAACGCTGTGCATTCACATATATATCCAACAAAACTACTGGATACTTACCGTGGACAAGCAAGTAAAAATCTATCTACATTTCCACGAGCCAACACTTTTCGGTAGGGATCTTGAAGTACGCGGAGACCTGTCTCACCATATTGACCAGATAAGATGAAGCAGACTTTTGAGTCGGTACCTGCAGATTTACGAAATCCTGTACTGACAATGATTTCATACAAGTATTCATGGTCTGGATTATTTTCGGCAAGTGGAGTAACACCAATCTAAAATTCAAATCATGAAAGAACTATGCCCATCGTAAGAACTGTTTAAAATTCCTCCTTTAATTAATTTTTTAAGATGTTAATTCCAAAGGTAATTCACTTGAAAGTAGCATAGACGGGCTGCAGACTTTAGTTTTTCCATCTATCAGTACTCAGCTGTAAAGTTGAAGGAATTCATCCTACATAAGATTTTTAAATTCTCATGTACCGGTAATACGGTCACAAAAATTTAAAGCTCAGATACCTATCCAGAGGCAGTAACTGGAACTTCGATTTTGAGTTACTCATCTTAGCAGTAATACTATTTTTCATCCGTTACAATTCGGAAAATTGTTTTTTATTTCATTGTTTGATAACCTGTAACTGGGGAAAATAGACTTTTCACTAACTGACTTCAGTTAGGTAACCAATGAAAGCAATTGAGTACTGTAAAGCCGTCTAGTCCTTATTTAGGACTCTTCAGCTATACGCACACATGATCTCAACAGTGGTAGAAGGCTACAAAGTGACCTCGCTTATCATTCATATTTTCTGATGAAATCCAATGGTCCATCAATTCTAACTTCTATCAATTTGTAATAGATAGAGTGACCACCAGCTAAGTTGGTGAACTCTACTAGCAATGATTTATCACTACGACTTCAGGTAACTTCATACTGCAATTAGTCACCAGTGAGCAATAGATTAATTTCCAAGTGCTAGTTTGCAAAGATTTGATGTAAGGAAAGTTTAGTGTTTCTTTCTTTCTCACTCATAACACCAGTCTGATTAGCCAAGCAGCAACAACCCTCATGGAAATTCTTAGTGAAATAGTGAAATTTTAAAGTTTGTCTTCCTCATTTGAGTTTCAAGCTGAAAAGAATTCATGGCTTGATGTTGGGCGTAAGGTCCTGTGATGCACATTCTCAATAAGAAAGCTGGTGAAACACTGCAAGTACAGCTGTAAATAAATAGACACCTTCTCGCGATCTTTACAGTGCTTATCACTTAACAAGGGGAGGTTGTTTAGAAACAGCAGAATTTCGGAGATTCAAAGCAGTAATAACTAACCTTCGCCAAATCTCTGTTGTCTTTTCTACGTGCCCAAATGAATAAGAAGAAGAATATAATACAAATTGTAATCTCCGTCGCGTACAGAGTAGGATTCTTAGAGAAATCGATATTAGCGAATACATAATCAAAATCAATGTTATTAGGTAATTCAAACCATCCAGCCGTGAATGTAGACAATTCATCACAGATGCATTCAGTTTGTTGGACAGTAGTCTTTGGGCCAACCTTATAATTCAAAAAAAGTTGGAAAGGAATAATTACTTAATTTGGGAAGAAAGGTTAGTAAAAATGTAAAACGTAATACAGTAGTTACATAGAACAACATAAATCATATATCATTTAGTATGCATTAATCCCAGTGAGAAGTTACGCGTGATATCTTCCATCTGCAGGCTGCAGTTTAACATATATTCCTCAGATGAATTATGGCAGGAATAGTCTATCTATCGCTAATTGATATCGGCTAAACAAAACTCAGGAGCAATGAACCAGAATTTGGTTTTTATTTCGGAAACTTCAGCAGTGCTCAACAACAACCAAGTCAATATTCAGTTCAGACGGAGGTCTACTCATCATTCACTATGACTCAACACTTCATTACAATATTAGACTCTCACATCAAAGTACCAAAGTATACCGGTAAGCATAATGTTCACTAAATAGTATGTATATTATGCCTACTGTCTGCTTGTTTGAAAATAAAACATTTAAACTACGAATATAAAATTGATAAGAAATTTAACAACATGACAGAAAGGTGAGTATTCACCTTTATCTTTTAAAAAAGCAGTACAGGTCTGACAGATTCGTTTTGTTTGTACTTATCTAATGTGAAATATTCAGTATACCTTGCAGATCACGAATCCGTCTCACAGGAATAACGATAATTTATTCAAGCGTAAACAGTTTTGATAACTAACTTCCAAAAATATGTAATAAAGGTATATTTAACTTTTACAGCAATGTAATCAACATTCTGTTTCATTACAGGAAGTTAACACTTGATAATAACAAGAGAAAACATTACCTCTGAACCACGAGAAACTGACAAAAATCCACAGGTTTAAATTTTCTCGTTTGTTCAGGCATTTACTAACACATATTTAGCTCTGAAAATGACAATATCTTACCATGATTTTGGTCTGGCTACTTTTAGTAGGCTTATATAGTAATGACCGAATTCACCTCTGCACTAAAAATGAAGTGTAATGTCAATCCTCATGATCACTCGCAATATATTAAGAAGTTACACGAGAAACTGGCCCCTGAGCAGAATCATATGCTTAGATCACGAAATAACTTGAGGATAATTCCATTGTGGATAAAATTTATTGTGGTAAAGTCACACAGTGTTATACAGTTATTATTATTGTTTCCTTTAGTTCCCAGAGGAACATAGGGCTTCAGATGCACGTCTCGATTGCGTTCGGTTCTCTGCCAGTGTTTTCACCTGGCTCCACGTCTGCGCACATGCTTTCATTTCCTCTTCACAGGACCTCCTCCATGTCACCCTCGCACTAGCGACCAATTCACCGCTTCTTGTTCAGGTTTCACCCAAGTAGAGGCCTGTCGTGTGATGTCACTTGATGGTTTCCTCAGAGTATGGCCAATCCATCTCCATTTCTTCCTGCCTATTTGTTTCACAGTCGGCTCCTGGTTGGTTCACTCATTACCAGAGATCCCTGTTGCTGATCTTTTCTCGTCGTCTGATCATGAGCAGTGTTGAGCAAAGACAGCTGTTGATGAAAGTCTGTAGTTTGTTCTAAATGCCCTTCGTGACGTGCCAAGTGTCTCATCCGTATAGTAGCACTGACTTCATATTGGAGTTGAAAATCCAGATCTTATTTTTCATTCTGAGTGCTGTTGACCTCCACACAGACTTGTGAGAAATGATAGCTTGTCTTGCTTTTCCGATTCTTGCTTTGATATCCTCGTCAGTTTGGTCCGCCTGTAGTTGAAACGATGCTTCCCGTGTAGGTAAAGGAGGTTGTTTCTTTCAGGTTCCTACGATTTACGCTGGCTGATTGTTGTCTATTGTTGTTGTTGCTGTTGGTGTTGGCCAGGAATCTTCATCACCTATGTTTTACCTATGTTAACCTGAAGTCCTATGCTTGATGATTCTTCTGCCAACTCGGTGCTTTTCACTTGCATATCTTCCAGTCTGTGGGAACCAGACATATATCATCGGCGAAGTCCAGATCCTCCAAGTTTTTTGTGTGAGTCCATTTTATGCCTGTTTCCTCACTGCCCACTGTCTGTCGCAATATCCAGTCTACCGCAATCAGAAAAATCATTGTAGACAGTAGGCAATCTTGTCGTTATACAATAATATGCAGTAAATATTACAGTATAGCACTGTGAGACTTTATCAAAATAAATGTTATCCGTAGTGGAGTCATATTCTATCACAGTGCCCAAGTTTTGTCTCCATATAACTTCCGGATGTGAATGAAGAAGTCCGATTCATGTCCTTGGTCTTGATGACATTATCCATCCATATGAAACTGAAAGTCTGAGAAGAGATCAATGAACATAGTATGGTATATACAGTCTAGGAAATTCAAATCTAAATCTTAGACATTTCGCAGAGTCACTGGCTTCCGTGAAAAAGACATTTCAGTTTATCAGGTAATAAAGCAACCTGTGCTTTAATGAAATATGACACTTTAATTTTTCATTTTGCTGCACACTGCATGCTAGGAAAATTAGCTTTAATTAGAATTGTATAGTTATAAAGAGAAAAATGTTTTAAAACGCACTCTGCATTTATTTGTAGACCACCGCGTTGCTGAACCTAGTGGACTGGACAGACAATTTGTTAAAAACCAACGTGATAGTGCTGTGTTATTTATTTGATCCCTATACAGATAAGGAATCGATGGGGGATTTGTCTCAGTGTAAAAATCAACTTCTCCCTTGTTCAATTGGCGGAAGCCAATATAAACTGTTTGCGCTGCAGACTTTTGTAATGTTTCAGCATTGTCCTTGTACTTTACTGATGATCTAACCCTCATTAGTTGTCGGTTATCCAACAAAAATGTATATCTATAGTTTGAATCACTTGGATTCGCGGACATGCCATCTGTGAAAGTAAAGAATAAACAAAAAGTGTGCTCCTTAGTGGAATAAATGTTGATAGTGTAGGACGTTTAATAAGCTCCATGGTGCATTGCATATTACACGGAAATAATCATTATGTTTATGACTTTATAAACAAATAGTTCTACTCATAATTCAGGGAAACAGATAGGCTTGGTCAATGTGTCAGTAGGAACCATACGGATAACTAAAGTTTTCTAGACGCGGTAATAAGAAGCAGAGAAAAATAGAAGTGAACTATTTAAAATGACTAGAAACGGATTCTCGTGTTCACCTATGTAGACATAAAAATCTCTTCTAGAAAATCTTATACACCTATCGGGTAGAAAGTCCGTCCAATTTTTTTGTTTTACTGGAGGGATTATGCTAATAAGGACACTGATTCATTTGAACATCCGTCTTGGGTAATCAAGGCAAAATATGTTTGAAGTAATTGTTGCCAGTAACTTTAATTATTAATATAATAACTAATTATTGTTCTATCTGAATAGTATGGAGAAGGAGGCTGTTATGATTACATTTTGTATATGCATTCCCTCCTATTGACAATAAACAATCACTGGCCGATTTCCTCCACCTCATAATGCTGACTGGACCACGCTCTTATGTTTAGATCTTGTGTGGCTTTGAGAAGCGCATGTTTTTGTGAAATTCTCCAATTAGTCATTCCTCACTGATTAACCCAAACACAACTTAAACCCTGAACAAATGCGTATATGGTTGATCGATCTGTTGAGAGAAAATTGAGCTTGCTTATTCACTTATGCGTTAAGCGTAAAGGTCTGAGTCCCATGCTCTTCTATAAAATAAATATTACTTAACATTAGTTGAATTTACGTGTTTGCACAAAGCTTATCACTTCAGAATTGAAGACAAGCTAAAATAGTAGTAATACTCCTTTTGCCTTGATTGTCAGGTTTGCTCCTTTCAAATTGTCGAAAGCAATAACTGAGAACGAAGACATAAACAACTAAAGTCGGCAAAATTAAGCGCCTTTAATAACGACCAAGCAATTTACCAAATGTCGTTTGAAAATAACTGATTACTTTTTGTCATATTGAGAAGACATTACAGAATACACCAATAAATATTTAAAAATTGTCAATAATATGACTAGTGCTCACCACATTCTGAAGTATTCTTAGGCAGTGTTGTCCACATGTCATATCCTCCGTAGGATGTTGAAATAATCGGTGGATTAATGAGTCTGCAAAAAAGGTTTTCGCACAGATTCGTTTTTTAATGAAAATTTAAACTGATAGGAAGTTATCAGTAGACGTTTGCACAGAAATTTAAAAAATTATTAGATGTTAGAATTAGTAAGCCATCGATTTCCACCGCTTTGTGAAAATATGTCGTGAAAACTAAACTGTTGACGGGGATTTTTCAATTCGCAAATTGCACGACAAGATAATTTTTCGGATGGGGTAACTTTCAGTGGAGATTAAATTTGTGAGAGGCAAACTGTACGCGCTAATAATACTCAGATACGTTGATTTTTACGTAAATAAATGAACTACAGATTTTGTTGTCAGCTCCTGGAGTGATTGTACATGTTGGCGGATACATTAACAAGGTGAGAAATACCCCTTGCTCAGTTGTTTTAAAAACAATAGTTGATTTGACATTGGTGTCTTTGCCAATTTGTCCATGCATTCCATCATTTAATAAAATGTAATTGGAATAAGCAGAACATCTCCTGATAACCACGGTGTTATTTGTAACGGTATCGTAAAATATGATTTTTTTAAAGGCATCTGTCCAAAAACTGCATTGGAACGAATGCAATTTATGTATCTAAAGTGATGGGGAATATCTGTAATTCAGAACACGGATACTGATTTTTGAGAAATCGCCCGGTATTAATGAACGTACGAATAACCGAAAAATTCTGCTGTCCAGGGCATTAGAAAGTAATCTTCTGCAAGAATGATTTCTATTATTCTAAAGTCATCTCTATGGTGCTAGTTTCTGGTTAGTATTTTAAATACACCAATGAATACACAATTTTTATTAAACAATTCTTATCCGTTGCACTCCCTCCCTTTACAATAAAAGTGGTGAATTCTTATATATAGTAGCATTTAAATTTATCATACAGTCTCGTCTCCATGATAAAAGTCACTTTAAGCTGTATGATGTCCGTGCAGCTTTTACTGGTAGTCATTTCGTAGCCACATTGTAGAACTGAATACGAAAACAAGTTCAATTTCAGAAACTAGCCACTGTATAACACCCTACCACATTATGAAGAATAATGTCTGCATCTTATACTGATTCACTAGTTCACCTAAAAAGCTACTAGTGGAGTAAAAGAATAAAGTGTTAACACTTACCTTAGAAAAAGTATATATTGAGGACATTCAGAGATATTTTCAGGATAAAGTTGGAAAACTACAGCAACGTCATCCGGCACAACTTGATGACTAACTAAAAGGGCCTGGTAAACTTCTGTTTTGTCTACAGCTATTCGTAAAGGAGGTAGTCGAGGTCGATTAGTACTTGGGTCCATACTTGTGAAGTTTTGATATTTAAGACTTGCAGCCTTTTGAGACGAAAAATTAATTAGTATATTACAGTAAAATAAGAAATCTGAATTAAAAACTAAGTTTGCAATAGTCATTATCTTCTCTAAGCAGTCACTACTATAATGCTATTTTAAAGTCCCAGTAATCATCACAGATAGAGAATTTATCTCTCAACATTCATACACTTACATTCAAAGTAATTTTTAAATATGTAAATATTCAAAACCAATCGGTGTCACGTAGACTTATTAAAAAACTGTTAAACTTTACGCGTAGATTTTCTTAACTTGGAGAAGTAACTCATTGTCTACGTATTGTCAGTTCATTCCACACTAATCTTTAAGAGTAAAAATCGGAGACTGAAGGAGGACAGAATTCCGTATAACTTTATGTGATATGATATACAGTTTACTATTATTGCCAGGGGACCCCTTTGGGGGGCACAAAATCATATCAGGTTATTCATAGGAGTGCTTAATTCCTTGTAATTGGTTTTTACTGCTTCGTATGAACATGATTTTGAGCGATACGCTCTACCTGAAATTTTACCTAGTTAACAATACTGTATGGATTTCGCCGATGATATATGTCTGATTTCCCACAAACTGGAAGATATGCAAGTGAAAAGTAACAAGTTGGCAGAAGAAGCATCCAGAGAAGATCGGACTTCAAGTGAACATAGATAAAACAGAGATGATGAAGATTCCTAGCCAACATCAACAGCAACAACAACAACAGACAACAATCAGCATAAGTGGGAAGAACCTGAAAGAAACAACCTCCTTCACCTACCTGGGAAGCATCGTCTCAACTACAGGCGGAACTGACGAGGACATCAAAGCCAGAATCGGAAAAGCAAGACAAGCTTTCATTACTCTCAAATCTGTGTGGAGGTCAACAGCACTCAGCATCAAAAATAAGATCTGAATTTTCAACTCCAATGTGAAGTCAGTGCTGCTATACGGATCAGAGACTTGGCGAGTCATAAAGAGCATCTCAAACAAACTTCAAACCTTCATTAACAGTTGTCTCCGCTCAATACTCAAGATCAGATGGCCGGCCAGAGAAGATCAACAACAAAGATCTCTGGCAATGAGCGAATCAACCCAGCAGGAACCGATTGTGAAACAAATAGGCAGAAAGAAATGGAGATGGATTGGCCATACGCTGAGGAAACCATCAAGTGACATCACTAGACAAGCCATTGCTCGAGTGGAACCCGAAAGGGAGGCGGCGAGTTGGTCGTCCAAGGGTGACTTGGAGGAGGTCATGCGAGGAGGAGATGAAAGCATGTGGATATACCTGGAGCAGGGTGAAAAAGTTGTCAGAAAACCGAAGGCAATGGAGGTGCTCAGCTGAAGCCCTATGTTCCTCTAGGAACTAAAGGATACAATAATAATAATAAATACTGTATGTTACACTAAATAAACCTATTTGACACGAAATTACACAAATGTTTTACAAGTTAACAAGTTATATTGAACCAATGTGTTTAAATGACATGATTGATGTTATGTGTAATAAAAATAATAAAATATTCACTAAGCATCAAATACAAGACCTCAAGTGGACATGGGGAAGACGGAGGTGATGCAGATAACCAACCAACAATAACAAACACTGATAAGCTTGAGAGAAATCCCTTCCTTCACTTATCTTACCAACATCGTTTCAACTATAAGCGAAAGAATGGATGAAGATGACGAAACCAGAATCGGAAGGACAAGGCAGACCTTCACCGCTCTGAAATCAGTTTAGAAATCTTCTGTAACCAGCAAAAGAACCAAATTCCGATTTTTAACACTAATGTTAAGTCACTTTTTCTGCATGGGTCATAAACTGTACACTGGTGTCATGAAACGCATTTCCAACAGGCTACGATAAATTTTTATTAACAACTAATTTTGCTCCATATGAAAGATCAGATGGCTGGAAAGAATCAGCAAAAAGAAGCTCAGGGTACAGACCAACCAAGAACCTACTGGCCAACAAATATATCAAAGGAAATAGTGATGAATCGGATGCACAGTGAGAATACCACTGAGTGATATCGCACATCGTTCCATAGCCCGAGTGGGTCCTGGATGGAAAAAGACAGGTTGGACGTCCGAGAGTAACATGGGTGAGATTGTGTGGGAAGGTAGTAAGACCAAATGGCAGTCATGGAACCAGTTGCAGAGGACTGCAGAGAATATGGTGAAATTTAGATGTGTTGTTGGATCCTAATGTTCTACTCTGAATCCAAGGAAATTATTATAATAATAATAAGTTTTAATATGCATCTACAGTTGAAAAATTAGTGATAATCATATTGTGAGATGATCTGAGTATATAACTAAGTAAGCCATTTACAAGTATTCGCTTAACTCTTCGTGAGACATTTTACATGTGCAAATGTTAATTCTTTGTTACTGTTTCACTTTGTGTTCAACTTAATACTGCTTATCACCGCTGCTTGCTAATGAAGTATAGCTCACTTAATGTGTTAATATTCCATAGTAATTACCTTCTTATGGTTAAATGGTATCTGCTGTTCATAATTCATTAATATTCCAGTCCCTGTTGGACTTAGCTGATTCTCATCCCTTTAATCTTTATCAGGACATTAGCGCTCTGTTTAATCTGACCGTGGATCGCCCTTGAGACAGCTTTGCTGTTTCTCATTGATACACCCTGTTTTCCTCCTTTTTTCCTTTACACAGGGCTTCAAGCTAGAGAAGTGAAGTTTCAGTAGCAGTGATATTTGTCTTTACGAGATGAGGTTGTTAGCCCCATGCCCAACCTACCCTCTTTACCAGTCTTATTACTAGCTTGGCGAGGTAAAGGAGTGTGTCACCCAGGGATCGAACCCCGAACCACTTGCGTGGTCGACGAGCATTGTACTGCCGTACCACCAACGCACCAGTCTCTGTGAATTTAACGGCATTCAACCAGACATCCCAGAATTTAAGTTTGGAATTCAGACAAAACTTGTATTTTTGGACTTTACGCGTAACTCAAACGTTTAGTTAGTTACTCAATCGCGATTATCACTCCTCATTTCTTAGAGGAAGTCTACTGTAATAGTTATTTTCAAAAGGACTATAAGTGTCTCTGTTAACTAATAATATAAAATATAATTATTTAGTGAATCCAGTGGATTATAAGTTTGTTACATTTTAGTTTTTATAGAAGAAAAGACCTTAGTGCAATGTTTCCAGCAGAAAGGGAAGATATGATGACTTATTTGCAAAATCTAGTAGAATAACACTGCAAATATGGGTTTAAATATTTTGAAACAGTGATCTTGACACTATGTTAATTGGAAAACACGTAACTCTGAATAATGTGTAACTTATTTATAAGTTTCAAGTGAGCAACGAAGGAATTATCAAAACGCTATACGAATATGAAACATATTCTTTCTGAACTTCTGATTTAGTGACCATTGACTGATTATGCCACTTAGTTCTTCCGCAGAAACAATAGCGTACCTTTTTTGACTTGAAGTATTTTACACGATCTTATGATTATAGTACTTATGAATTAACTCTAGTAATCCGAATGATAGGGAGGTTGTATTATTTTGTTCCACTGCTTTCTTAAATGCAGAATAAGACTTTAGGTCTTTAAATTGATTGCATTACTACGCGATCCAATGAATGATGTCTTCTTACTTAAGAAATAGTTGTCATAAGTGTAGACACTGTATTTCACAATGTGTAAAATGAAAAAGCTGGAAACCACTTACACCACTGTCATCACAAGTTATCGCGTGTTACTCCAGAATAAGATATAGAAGTGAGCCAATTATCACTTTAATAAAAGATGAAAAATAACGTAATAAAATATAACCTTACCCTGCGAATAAAGGCTCTGAAAACTTCAACAGCGTTTGCAATTACAAGTGGCTCAACGCCACCGTATAAAATCATAGAAATTGTTTGGGTATCTGATGGTACTGGTATTGGTGAGCCTGTACGAAATGAGAAGAGGTTTGTGTTTGACACGAATGACTGAAACAAGAAGATAGAGTGAAAAGAAATGAAATAAAATACTGTGCTAAAGAATAAAAAGGCAGAAATAAAGATAGAGGAAGCAAAGCAATTAACCAATCAGATTTCAGATGTCTTCAGAGGCACACAAAAAACTAATCAACTTTAACATATATTTATTTCATTCTGTATTTACTAGATTGCTTTCACTGAAATATGAAAATGCAGTAGACTATTTTAGATGAACAGATTTATTCTTCTGCCACACAAAAAGATACATTTCTCAACTCACTTATAAGGATCGTTGTTTATGCTGACAGAGTATAACCTCTGAAGAAGTTAGTAAGTGGGAAACAGAGTTCATTATCAAATGGTATGTATACAAGCGGAGCTTGGAAACCGAACGAACAAAACTACAGTTTCTTGGTTATTTAGCAAATTTTCTTCAATATCAAACCTTGACTCAATAATAGCATATATATATATATATATATATTCAAGTATTGGTTTGTAGGGATTTGGTTGATTGGTTACAGGATTTTGTCATGAGCTGACATCAGATAGAGAACCATTGGAAAACCTGGGAGTATTGGACAGCTGTTTCGTCCCCGTTTGGGACTCTTCAGCAGTACGCACCCACCGGGATTCGAACCCAGTACCTTCCGGCTACAAGGCGACCTCGTATACCATTAAGCCACTGGGACCCAATCCAATGGCCAGTGCATGAATTCTAACTTCTGTCAATTCACAACATAGCGCGACCGCTAGCCAATGTCTTCGGCGAGTATTTGCCCTCACTTCTAGTTTACAGGAATCATATTTATTGTTCTTCCGGATTCAAAATTTATGAGCAGATTTACACTGTTCCTCTAGAAAGAGATTGTTTAGGCTAGTGTTTGCAGTGAACCTTCACAGTCCTCGAGACCACCTAAATTAGAGGATATTAGGAAAAATCTTACCATTAATTTACTGAGATAACCATTTAAATAAATATTAATTGGCACCACTTATGATGCAGATGTCCTTGTCAAAATCAACCTTTTTTCACTTTGAAATGTTCGTTGTTAACTTTCTTACAATGATGTAATCACTTTTCAAATTTAACTCCCGTTTTATAATTCTCCCATGGTAATAACATTAGAATCGTTGGAAGATATTTTGTTGGTAGAGTTTCCAATAGCTAGTTTTGACAATTTTAAACTTTAACCGGTGATCATGCATTTCGGTTTCAAGAATAAGTGGGTAATCGTTTCATGTACTTTGAGAATGATAGGCTCGAAGCTACATCAGAAGGTCCAGTGACTGTTAAGACCCCGCTGAGTTCTCACTGAGAACAACGAGATTAGAGTCGCAACTCTGAAACATTTTATCAAATGAAATCTAGACGAAAATCTTTAAAAAGTCAAGTCGCAGAAAGTCTATCAGAAGACAGAAGCACAATGTTCCGTTTTTATAAAGAAAATTCAACCTTTATATTCTACTTAAGCGATTAATATCTTAAAATTCGATCAGTTAGTGTGGCACAATAACTCGTCAAGGTGATTTAAACGCACCAGAGCCTGCAGCTTTTTAAAAGTTAACAATTATCTGCAGAGAATTAATCGATAACTTCTAGTAAAGCGTATTCTAAGCCACTGGAGAAGAGTCATCAGTGTGGGCTTTGGAGTGATGAAACTTATGAATAATAATTCGGTTTCATTGTTTGTTTGACTGAAGTCGACGTTTGATGAATAGAGTATGAAAACAGTTGGCAATATTTCATGCGAAGATAAACTCACTTGCAAATCATATGCGAATGTGCAACTGTTATTCAGTGCTTGAATACTTGTACACAAATTGTTCACCAAAATCTGTGAATCAATCCCAATTGGTATTGCAATGGTATTTGATAGGTTGTTCGATGGGATTTTATACTGGCTAACAACTCCTTCCGTTGTTTTAAATATAACTGGGTTTGCACCTTCAATTAGCAAGCTTTTTGAAACACCTTGTACTGTCTTTAGTAGATTGCTTAACATATCTGATACTTGAGCAGCCTGAATTGGGCAAAACAATTGTCAGGAGGAGAAAAATACGAAATATGAATTTGATAAACAGAGTTTTATATGATGAATTTAATATCTTTAAAAAAATCAGTTTTTAAGTGACCATTGTTATATATCACGGAATCAATGATAATTGGATATAAGAATAGATCTTGCGTACTGTAGTAGAGTGTAATTCCATTATGGGTAAAATTTATTTTGATAAAGTCTCACAGTGCTACACAGTAATATTTGCTGATGATATTTCGAGCATATCAAGGTCTTGATATGATAAATTTTACCCACAAAGGAAGTAAATTATACTTTGTCTGTTAGTATAATGAAATACTTGAAATAGTGGAGGGAATTTTGAAGTCAGGTAAATGTTCTTCGTTTTGTTGTGTTCTTGCAGCGTTGTAGTTTACTCGTGAAGTTATATCTGAAGGTGTTGTGCAGAAAGACAGAGAAAGTTTTACTACTAAACACTCGGCTAAGAGAACATAACACCTAAAACACTGGAATACTCTTAGTTATGGATTTTACAGACTCAATCTAAACAAAAGGCTATTTAATAAAAGACCTCACTAATGCTCGCTATTTTGCATTCAACTCAAGCAAACCAAATTAGATCTTACCTTCTGGTATTAAAGTCAGAGAGTCAAATAATTGAATTTCAACTGCTCTGTGTTTTATATCTATAGAAAATATACAGGATACACTTAATCTGTCGTAGGTGCGCAGCATCACTTATAAGATGTAGGGTTTTAATCATTACGCAACATAAAAGCTTTTTTATTTTGACAGTAAGGAATAGGAAATTTTAAAAAACGGCTTTCTGTAGATTAGTTCCCTGAAGAAGAGACGTCTGTAAATGACGTTACGTTAGAGATTTATGTGAGCAGTACACAGTAGATAAGCATGCTCCTAGTATATTTTTCACAAGTTTACAGTAGGTTGGATAACTTTTTTCTGTTCAGCCTTTCATGCTTTTTTAGCTTGTGGTTATATGCCACTGAAATCAAGTTTAACTGAATCCTATCAATGATAATACATGAACTTACCAACAAAGATTGTCGATCAGCACTGTTTTTCAACATTAAATCACGCATAGGGTCTAAACCAGAAGTTATCAAACCTTGAAAATGAAAAAAAGTAGAAAACCTAGATTAATACATGAGGAATCAGCGTCCTGAGAGAGCGAATTGTATTACTACTTCTATTGTTCATAACCCCAGACATTTTTGAGTAAATTAAACTACTCAAACGTAGTAAGATACAAAATTCATCTTTGAATTCTTCCGTCGCTGAGCTTGTCACTTAGAGTGATATGCATTCTTAGGTAAGAAATCAAAACATTTCAAAAACTATGTGAGTGAACATGTATTACCAGAATACGTTAAAAACATTTAATTATCTCAGTCAAATTTCTGAGTTGTAAATTCCAAAGTATTTCGTAGTCGATTGACGTCTGTCGCAAATGATAATACACTCATTATGACATTTACTTACCCCTCATATGTGTCTCAGAGTTATGATAACTGATTATATTTAGGATGTGTGGATAACAATGAAATTCTATCTGTTAAACATGTATGACAGAGTTTTAGGTAATAAACTACCAACTATCCACTGCGTTTCAGAATGACATTTGCAAGTATAGCTTTCAAACCATGACTTTCAAGAATGTTGCTTCAGAATATCAGATTCTTTGAATCATTTTATTAAGGTCTTGAAAGGATTTCATGGTGAAGAACATGAGGTATCTCACAGCCTACTGCAGAATAAGAAAGTCTCTTAAGATATGACACATTAGAAAGAAGTTTAAGGACGACCAGGTTAATCCGTGAAAACACTTTTCTAGGCCACAAACTGTTGGTTTGAAGAAAAAACACAACTTAAATTGATGCACTTCTGCAGTTCATTATCCATTTTTCATCCTTTTTTCAACAAGAGTTATTTCATTTTCGCTAAATATTATGTCATAATTTGGATTTTGGCTTTGCATTTCCACAAAAATCTTGAATACGTATGCATAACATGAGGGAAAACAAAGGAATAACATCGTATCTGGAATTCAAATGAACGTTTAGACGGCTAAGTATAAGATCGGTAGTAATGAAACCAACAGTTTCGAGATAACACGAGATATGCATCTGAGTGACGTTAAACAAATTACTGTTATACCTTACTAGCAGTATCTACGTGTAGGTCAAACTGTACGTAATCAGCATGAAATGACTGGCATAAAATGAAAGTCAAAAAATGATCTCATACATTTTTAAAGGAATGTAGATTCAGGATTTCATCATCAGCTGACATTACACTACACAACACTCAAATACCAATGAGATGCTCACCGGCGACTGGCCCTATTCAGATAGATAGTTACCTGGGTTCCAGTGGAAAGTCGTGACCAGTAGGGTGCAGCGGGTCGGTTGTGAGGACAAATACTCGCCGAAGACATTGGCTAGCGGTCGCGCTATGTTGTGAATTGACAGAAGTTAGAATTGATGCACTGGCCATTGGATCGGGTCCCAGTGGCTTAATGGCATACGAGGTCGCCTTGTAGCGGGAAGGTCCTGGGTTCGAATCCCGGTGGGTGCGTACTGCTGAAGAGTCCCAAACGGGGACGAAACGGCTGTTCAGTACTCCCAGGTTTTCCAATGGTTCTCTAACTAATGTCAGCTCATGACGAAATCCTGAAACCAATCAAATCCATACAAACCCAACACTTAAATGTAGATTCAGTTCCAGTGGCTACCTGTGATTACAAGGAAGTACCTTGGTACCTACTACATAATAAAGTAAGCATGTTTTTCGGATATCATCCACTGATTCTAATCTAGGAAAGTATTCATTATTTTGATGTGGTTTTGTTCTCTGAGCTGGATGGTTAGTTCGCAAACTAACCATCCAGCTCAGAGAACAAAACCACATCAAAATTATCCACCTGAGCTACAAATCTTCTCTATCATATCTAAGTATTCATTATATAGTATGGAATTTAAGGTTCTACTGATAGATTGACAAAATGAGTTAATTATTTATAAATTGGCGTTTACTTGCATGAAGGAAAGGAATTATAAATAGAGATAGTACTAGCATTTTGACTAGAATAAAAAGTATCTAAACTCTCATTCGGTGGTGTGTATGTGTTTATGAGCAATTACAGAAATGAACTGCCTTCCAAGCAGACCCACACTACGGTCATCTTATTTCACTTCAGAAATCAATAAATATTACCAGTCTCCTCTATCACTTTCACATACATTTTGAAGAGATCATTGGATTTAGATCAGTGATACTTATCAGCAAAGCTGTTATATATATATATATATATATTCTCTCAATTACCTAAATTTTTATTACTACATTCATTACAAAGTCAATATAATTAATTATTTTTACTTTAGAGATTTACCATCATATAACTACTGTTATGCTTACCTTCTTTCTCAAGGTCAACATTGTATTCAAGTGAGGCAAGAACTGTAGGTATGTCGTTTGGAACTGGATTGCTGATTTGTTTATTAGCAGCCTGTAAGATAAAATCGTACAATTTTGTGTAAACACCTATCGTATGCCTAATTATAATTTTCGGATATTTTCTTTGTTGTATAACAGCCATATCAGAATACTTTTTTGTTTACAAACATGTCTTTAAGTACTTGCAACATTAGAGATCGTTCATATCAAATATTGTTTTGTCATGTTATCCCACATAATATAGCTTATATACTGAAAGAATAAAAACACATGTTCCCACTACAGTGGATGGTCCCATCAAAACAACTCTCTTTGGCATTATCAAGTTACTCAGGTATGGCATGAGAAGCAGCCTGGAATTATTTTCATCACTGGAAATTTCGAAGATTACCCACAGCAGACTTTACTCTGATAGACTACTTTATTCTGCTTCAACTTGAAAATTCTTTCGCGTGCATTCAGGTATTCATTAGTTCCAACAAACCTCACAGTGGGGTTTACAACTCCCTACTGACTGACTCTTAATATCTAATATCAATTTATCCTATTCTCTAAATGGATCCATAGCAGATTGTAACAAAAAGCTGATTTAGTTTATTGTACAGTGGTTGGACAAATTTCGCTTCAGTAATTATTGAAGTAAATTTATTTATCGTTATGAATATGTACAACTTAAACAAGAGCATAATTCCAAAACCGAAATAATACCCTTAATTTTTTAAAAATGTGTTACGAAATTCTTATCAAGGTTAACTTACGTTAGCCAAACGAAACGTTGATTCAAATACCATACTTGCCATTTTCACCAGCTGATAAGTGCTATCAAAAGCAATAGTTTTGAAGGTTTGCGTGACTTGCTTAAAATAAGTGGTTAGTTTTGTCTGTGAAGTTCTATCCACATCCATCGTATTGCTCAGTAAAACTGAGGCAGTTGACATCGACAGAATAAATGAATTAGAATCAGTAGGAATGAAGTTACTAATAGCGGTGACCAACTTTGCAACAACCTGTTGATTTATTAAAATTTATAATTTATCGACCGTCAGTAAATTAAAAAACACTTAGTACGTGTAAAGTATATAAACTAAGGACAATATATGACTGAAATTGATTCGACTGTTTATAAGAAAGCCCGTGAGCTACCATTACTCGACAGTGCCAGTGAAAAGACTGCTGGCTATCTGACCAGTTCTACAGAAGATTGAGTAATCTGTCCACGAATTTACATCACTGAATAATTATGATTATATAAATGACGAAACATATCAATTTTTTCTTCATGAATTAGGAAAATAAAGATTTGTTCGGCATGGAAATATTTCCTTCATGAATACTGACTGAGCAATTTTGGTGAAATTATCCACTTTTAGGACACTGAAGCTTGAAAATAAAGTCACTGAAAAGAAATATTTTTCTCTAGATAAATCTTAGTTTTATCTACCCATCATTATCCATTAGTAACTCCAAAGGTAAGCTAAGTGGATACCAGTAGACAAAACTCTTGACAGCAGTAACAATGAAACACAGACTTTACTGCATTCCGATGCTGTCAGTGAGACAACTCAACTAGTCAATAATCAGTTAAGTTAATAACTAGCCAATAAATTATTATCACGAGAAGCGTAGTTTTTAACGCCGTACCGCTTTCAAAGGAATATCAAATGATCTAGAGCTTCAATAAATCTAAGTATGTCGCCCAAACCTGCTTAATATACGGGTTTGAATGCATTGTTAAAGTAAATTTTGTGATTTTACTCTATGATATACTTTGCGTTTGATGACATTGGATCCTTCCTATGCATGTTTCACCACACGTACATGTAAACTGGCAAATAATTTAGCTGAATAGAAGTCAGCTCAAGAGTAAAGATTTAGACAAGATTAAATGATATAAAACCACTTTGACAAAACTAAATACAATTATAGCAACAAAAAATAAAATCAAAATAATATTAAGTGAAATTTATTCGTCATAGTAGGTGGATATTATTAAAAGTGTCTTCTAGATTGCACAGGTTCATCTTTAACCAAATAATGGCTACAGGTTCAGTGACATCTGGGATCCTGGAACTAACATGATGTTATCTGGCTGATGGTAGTTAGCTGTGGTATATGGGATGTATGCTTCATCATATTTAGGACTCATCATCTGGATGTACTTGCTCCCCAGTGTGGTAGTGTTTCCAGTACTCATATAAACACAAACAAGTAGCTTCGAGTCACTGATTCTGGTAATATCGAGACAAGGAGCCTCTTTATCAAACTGGGGCTGATCATTTCGGTTAGATGAACATGAAATCACAAACAAGAATATATGGTGATATAAGTATAAAATTTGGGCACTGTGGTAGAGCATAACTCCATTATGGATAAGATTTTATTTTGATAAATCACACAGTATTGTACAGTGATATTAACTGATGACATTTCGAGCACAAACTATTGCTCATAATCATATGATTATGAAGAATATATAGTTCCAGAAAATGGGTGGTACAAGAATTTGGGGAAGAATATTTTCCAAGTATGCTTGAAATGCTGATGTAAGAGTAGAATTTTGACCCTGTGGTGGAGTGTATTACCATACAAGATAAGTGTGCTTGATGTAACACACAAAGATACAGTTTTGATAACTGGATGGCGTTTCGAGCACAAGTTATTGCTAATGATCATATCAAATGATATGATAATGAGAATAATAACATCCAGGAAGTCCATTGTTACTACGTAAATGAATACTACTGTACACACTCAACATATGTAACTAACAGACTGAGGCTCGAACATCGAGTGAGTTACTGTTTAGTAGCACTACTTTTTCACAATATACATAACAGATGACGAGATCAATTTCTGAAGAAAACTAAAATTCTAACTTACAAATGTAAGTACGCAATGGTTTGTTTTAAGGGAATAGTCAATCCGTAAAATCAAACATCAAGTGCAACTTGACTTTTTTTCAACGAATCTGTTAATTAATAATGCTTCAATCGAAAGCTTTTAAACAATCTATCACTCTAAATTTTGTAATATTGCTGGTATACTACAGCCTAAGACACTGATTATTTGTAAGGCATGTTTCACTGAAGTAAACTGCTTGCAAGTAATGACTTGTACATCATCAGAATATATACTACTGACACCCAAGTGTTAGTAATAAGAATTTTGCAAATATCCACAACTTTTAACTTATCATATGAGGGGAAGTATTCAATATAGACATGTACCGGGTAGTCTCAACCTTTCGCTAGGGGTTAGTTAAAGACGGTTCGAATCGATCGAATACATAATCTAAATTTCAGCATAATTTAGTAAATAAAATTCAATACTTACCTGTGAGCGTGAATTACGATCTGCGATTAGATCTGAAATCTGTGAAAGATCAAAAATATTAAAGATAATCATTTCCACTGACTTAAACTCAGGTTGAAAAGAAGCGACCGCTCAGCAAAATACCTTTTAAAGTCAACAAAACTTTCGGCGATATCACTGGCGTGCAATATTTATCTCGATCTTTATGTTGTGTCCAGATTCTCTTGACTCCCAAAGTAACCGGTAATGGGTGTGATTTGTTCTTTCTAAAAAGTTTAGCTTAAATCCTAGACTTCATAGACGAAAGGCTAAAAGTCTTCAACATACGATTTAGAACACTGACATATCTTTGAACCACTATCTCTTTGCATGATTCATTAGTTAAGCAGTGTGGGCGGAGAACCTGTTGTCTTGACAAATCTCCAAAGCGACTCAAGAAAGGGAAGTACTTAAATGGTGGGGAGTTTGATTTATGTCACTAGATAGACACTGAGTCAATCAGAACAGTTAGTTGCGGATATATGTGCTTAAATGAGATAATTGGTTCCACATGATTGAACGCATATCGTTCATGAACTGCTTTATAAATAAAAGAATATCCAGTAATCTCGATTATCGTTGACTAGCCGAATACTCAGTAGTTCTCACGTTTGTTTTCATTAAAAGCCTTCTATAAATCAATACAAGTGTCGACCTTTTATAAAAATTTATTTGTGTATATATCATAATAATTTTAGAACACAAATAAAGGCTTGGTCAATGAAATCACAGTGCAGTGAAGTAGAAATTCAAAAATTTTCTTTTACAATATTGAATTCTACCTTATTAAATTTCACACGATGTTATGTAATATTTTATTTAAGCCTGCAAATCCTATAATTATGCACCCCTTTCTAACATCCATACACAGTATGAAATATTTTGTTTATGACATTAACTGTTTTGCTACTTGACATTTAACTATGATTATAATCACAAATATTTTAATTGCATTTCATACTACTATTATCATTTTATGCATTCACACCTATGATTCAAATCTCTCACCGGATATAACTTCTTAAAAACCAAATATATACAATTGTACAGCTTGATAATAAATTCGTTGAAAAGAGTCTCTTCGCTGAATATTGTGCTCTTAATGACAGTTTAGTTATATTATAAAACAAATCCAGGTATTGTAAATACATGAAATTTTTTTATCCAGGCCTTTGACATTAGAGTTTTGCCATCTACAAGATGTTTTAATAATTTCACCACTGTGAAAAACCTAGAACATTCAGTTCAAGTTTTACGTCCTTCTGACCTGTGAATTTTGGTTGTATCTACTCGGTGAATGTAACAAAGACTTACTACCAGAGTTTGTTATCTTATTTGAAATTAACACTGATTTGCACTTTTACCGGGTATACGAAAACACTCTAGTTTCCTTCACTTTACTATAATGTCACTTAAGTCTCTTTGAACACGCTGACCGAGTCAAGTGGACAGTTAGCGAAAACTAAATAATTTCTTCTCTGATCAAGCATTTTAACCTGTTAATCCATAGTCTTTACGGTTAATAAAGCTGTTACTTTAAGAAAACTATTTGCATTGCATCAAAGAAAGGCTTGATAATATCAAGGATGTTCAAATACATTGAATTCCACTACACTAAGTAATTCATACAACAATTTGCTTTAACCTATGTAACATTTTACGCGGATAAATCCTTTCGCACACTGGATTAACTTTTGCTTGTGTCTAACACCTAAATTTCTAATTGTTTATCAGACTATTTATGACAGTTAGCTAACAGATATTTATGTGCTTGTCTTCTTAAATAACATATAAGCATTTCTGCCGCAAAAATTTATTTTATGAATGCAAATATCACTTACATTTGTTGAAGAATTAGCTCCTGAAAGATAAACAACAAAGAAAAAAGAAAGTGTTACATTTCAAATGTAGTGTACTCCTGGGTTTGAAAAGCCTTAATCATAAAGACCTTCGGAAGCACTCCTCACCCAATACATATTACAAGACTAGATTATAATATTAGTTTTTCCTGCTCTCGTTGCATGAATATATTAAGATTAAATATATTCAGTTTGGTACTAGTCCTGTAGTTTCCCTTAGGTTGCAACACCTGACAAACAAAATACAGCTGATGTGATTGGCTTAAAATCTCAAACTGATCTGATTCTACAATACGCAATCATTTCCTACGTAAAGTATAAAAGACCATTATTATTTGTAGCGAAATAAGACTTGTAAGATAATACGGTTATCTGGGTTCCCTGTGGAAAAAAATATGATCGCTTCGTGTCCATAATATTGACCTGATAAATTTACTCCTCCCCTGAGCTTAAAATATAAAATAATATGACTGCTGTGCTTTTCCTTATTTCATTTATAATAACTGATTATTTGGTTAGTAATATGTGTGAATTTCTTTCCGTTAGTCCTTAACTAATCTTTATTCTTATATCCACACATGTATTCACATGTGTAATGCTTAGATTCACAGAATCGAAGACATTAGTCGTCCAGTGACGAGTGATAATAAAAATAAAATGTGAACATTCGTTTTGATGATAAGATGATATACTGAAAGAAATGTGATTTCAAACAAACATTAGCTTCAAGGCAAAAATTAGAAAGGCGTTTTATACTACCTGTTAGTAAAAAGTAGTATGATCCAAATCATAAAAAGGTGCATGAGTAAAAATATCACTTCACGAGAGGAACAGAAACGATTTGTTATTTGAAGCCATGAATATTCATTATATGATTGGCAGTTCCGAAAAGGAATGTAATGTGTTGGAGAGAATCAGAAATCAAAGACAACTTATTTATATATCAGTTTTGCTATCAAAATGGCCCAGTTTAGATTTTAAGGAGGAATTCACATGAAGTTAAATCTGCCCTATAATTGTATCACAAGAAGGTGTTAAAGTATTTTTTGCGGATCAGACAAACATGTAATTTTGACAAGTGAGGGGAAGTAAAAGTAAGTAAATATTCATGTCATGGTTTAAAACAGGTTACCACAACACAAATCCACTCTTTTATTTGGCAAATGTTATTCATGCATATTAATGACTCCCCTGGGATTACAAGTGGCTAGATAAAACAATGACTGAGTGATTAAGTGGATCAGTATACACATTTCACTTATACCTATGCGAAATTTTTTGTTGGACATATCATATAGTAGAATGGTATTATTTACTGGATGACGCTTGAAGCATCAGTGGTCGTATTTTACAAAGAGGGAGCCCCTGAAACCTTGTATAGAATACTCATGGACTCAAGGATGAAAGTGGGATTCAAAACAACAAACTTCAAAGCAAAGTGTGCTGATTAAAGAATCCTGTAGGGCCCATTAAATAGAACAGTTTAGTTTATCTAATACCCTGTGATGGCAAGGAGGTCAATTACGCTAGTCAGATTAGTAGGTCAGGATGAATTATACTGGTACAGTACACAAACCTAGTGAAATCTAAATTAGTTGACTCTAAAAAGTGTGGAATTCAGAAAGAAGCTTAGCCGTAGCATCACATGCAGTTACATACAACCATAAATAGGACGAGACAAAGTGACAGTCTTAAAATATGATGTAACAGGGTAGGGGAAGATATGAATAAGTGAGGCTCAATATATGTATAACCGACTGAGATGTACAGTGGGAATGTATTATATTACACTTATTATTCCGTTGGGTTCCGAAAGGAATGTCGGGCTTCAATATCATACCTAAATTTCACCCTATTCTCCAAGGCCCTCTTTGGTTGGCTCCATCATTGACCTTATGCTCTTATGTCCTCCTTATACGACCTCCTCCATGTCATGCTTGGACGCCCAACGCGTCGTTTCCTATTCGGTTCACATTTAGGCTATGGCCTGTTGTGCGATTTTATTCAGTGGTCTCGTCAATGTGTGTCCAAACCATTTCCATTTTCTTTGGCATAGTCCAGACCACCACACTTAGGACTATCATCAGCGATAACAGGTTGTAGGAATGATTCAATACCTATTGACTGGGTCCCGGTAGATAGCCAAATGTGCGCTGTCCGTCTGAACGGATCAGTAAAAAGGAGAAAGGACTGCACTACTCGCCGATGCCTTTTCGTAATATCCGCCTACGCCCCCACTGACTGCAGTTCGGATGAAACGAAGGATGAGTTCTACCAAAAGCTGTCTAGTTTGGTGCGAAACGCTAAACGCTCAGACATAGTCGTTCTAGCTGGTGACTATAATGCTCAAGTAAAGAAATTGTGTCAATCTGAGAAGGATGTCGGTGGCACCTATGAAGTTCCGTGCCAGCGAACCGACAACGGTGACCGTCTCCTACAGTTCTGTTCAGATAATCATTTGTTTCTTGTAAGCACTAACTTCAAACACAAGGAGAGACACTGTTTGACTTGGAGACCCCCTTCATTAAACCAACGCTGGACACAAATAGACCACATAGCAATAAGCTATCGTTGGCGTGGGTCGGTAGGAGATTGTCGCTCCTTCTGGAACACGTGTGTAGGTACCGACCACGTACTGGTCCGCGCTCGTGTGTGCTTACGAATGAACGGACGTAGGAAACAGCTGGCGGTAAAACCATCACGTCCCCAGCTCGATCAGGAAACTAAATGCTCATCTGAGGAAGAACTAGCTAAACACATATCTGTGTTCGACAGCTGTGCTCACCATGAAGAAGCTTGGAAGAAGATCCAGGCAGCCATAGATACAGCTGTAAAAGCTGTGAATAAGGTAAACCCAAAGGTGAGTAAAAACCACTGGATCTCCACCGCCTCATCCGAACTGATAGATGCTAGAAGACTTATTCCGGCGAGCTCCGAATTCAATGAGGAGCGAAAGCTGCACAAAAGGAAACTTACGAAAAGTCTCCGCAAGGACCGTGAACAGTGGTGGGTGACAAAGGCGAAAGAGATGGAAAAAGCATCGGGGATAGGCAACACCAGGCAACTCTTTAGACTCATCAGGGAAACGGGTGGGAGAAGACAAATCATAAGTGAAACAATCTCGGAGAAAAATGGCACCATAATTAGCTCCCAGGATAGACGACTGGATCGCTGGAAAGAGCATTATGAGGAGCAGTTTAATTGGCCCACAGCCACGCTCAACCTTCCGAACATCCAACACCTCCCTGAATGGGATATAGACACAGGTCCTCCGTCCCTAACTGAGGTTACTAAAGCTGTCACCAATCTGAAACTAGGCAAAGCAGCGGGACCTGATGGAATGACTCCAGAGGTATTTAAGTACGGTGGAGACAGCTTACTGTCTGGATTAACTGAGGTACTAGGCAGCGTCTGGGAATCAGAAGAAGTCCCATCGGGTTGGTGTAAGTCACTGATTATCCCGATATACAAGAAGGGAGACAAGTCTTCCTGTGATAATCACAGAGGGATTAGCTTGACTAATATAGTATCTAAAGTCTTAGGCTCAATAATCATGCGTAGACTAAGTGGTGCTCGGGAGGCACAAACACGAGAGAGCCAGGCAGGCTTTAGACCAGGAAGAGGGTGTATTGATCATATCTTCACCCTCCGACAGATTCTAGAACATAGGCATTCCTACCGGCGTCCAACAGTCATTATATTTCTTGACCTAAAGGCAGCATTCGACTCTGTCGATTGAGAGGTTCTCTGGAGATGCTTGGCTGTAAAGGGAATTGCGAGAAAATACATTGCACTGATTAAGGCACTCTACTCGTACTCATACAGCCAGGTGAGGGCTTACGGCGAGCTGTCATCTGAACTGGTGACGACTAGTGGTGTCCGTCAAGGATGCCCATTATCCCCATTTCTATTCAACTTCATCATAGATGTATTAATGGACTTAACCCTAAGTGACTTCAGCGACTCAGGGATTGACTTGCTACCAGGGAATAATCTCGTTGACTTGGAATATGCAGACGATATAGTCCTTCTAGGCGAAGACGCTGACAAAATGCAGAGTCTTCTAAACACCTTGAGCTGCAATCTACGAATGTTTGGCATGCGATTCGCTCCCGCCAAATGCAAGATGATGTTACAGGACTGGACTACATCGACGCCTAGTTTAAAAATAGGAAGTGAAGTGGTAGAGCACGTTGACCGCTTCACTTATTTGGGAAGTACCATCAGCCAGCGCCAACGGGTTGATCTCTGACGAAATCTCAGCACGAATACAGGGGGCTCGTTTCGCATTTGCCAGTTTACGCCGACTCTGGCGTAGACGAGATGTTCGACTATCGACCAAAGGGCGGGTGTACTGCTCATCAGTCCGCTCCGTCCTCCTTTATGGTTGGTGAGACCTGGCCACTGAGAGTGGAAGACATGAAAAGACTAGCTGTCTTTGATCATAGGTGCCTGCGCTCTATTTCCCGTGTAAAGTGGCATAATAAGGTGAGCAACATCGAGGTTAGGCGTCGAGTTCTAGGTAAACAGGGGAAATCAATCGACGAAGTCGTGAAGCTACAAAGACTGAGATGGTTAGGACATGTGTTACGTATGCCAAGCCATCGCCTCCCTCGACGAGCAATGTTAGCGGATATAGGGTCAGGCTGGAAAAAAGCTAGCGGCGGTCAAACAAAAACTTGGCACCAGTCAATGAAATCCACAACAGTTGGTCTAAGCCACGTAGGAAGGTGTAGACTTCCAGGCTGGGGTCCTCGGGACGGTAAAAATCTATGGTTGGAAACAATTGGTGACATGGCTCAAAATCGTTCTCAGTGGGCGCAGATGCATCCACTCCTTGTGATTTATGATTTCCAATGAAACTGTTTTGTTCTTCGTTATTACTCTTCCTTTGTCTCACACCTCTGCTTACTGTCTCTACTATGCTTTTCTTGTACTTTCTTCTCTTGCTTTGTGTGCTACAAGGAGGGAGTGTGGCGACTTGAACTTCCGCACATTTGTACAAAGTTCTATGTCAAAAACAGACAGACAGACATTGCAGACATCATTAAAATTTTGCTACTGATATGATTATGAAAAATTATTGTGTTCGGAACATCACGTAGTAAGTAATTAGGTCCCACTGTGAGATGTACCCAGTAAGAAAATTGATATGGATTTACGTAATAGTACAGTGCTCAAGTTCTACACTTATATTAAACCACTTGATTTATCTGTAGGCGATGATGCTTATGTTGACTGGAATGAATGATAGCAAGTGTGTGTTGACATTTACATAGCTGATTTATCCGTGTATTACTTTATTCTGGTGTAAATGACTCGTGTCTGAAGAACTATGTGTAAATAGGGTATAAGAAAGTGAAAACAGTAGTTAAGTATGAAAACATGCAATTTAATGTATATGCGGTAAATGACCGAAAGTTTTAGTCCTATTAAACATTGTCACAAAATTACCGACGTGTGAACATCTTGTTCTCGTTTTCATAGTTGAAACTGTTAAATTACTAAATGAACGCTTTCTAATAAAGAAAAGTAAAAGTGCGGAAGAAGGGAATGTTTGGTCTGTGGAGTGCGGTAACTTTATTGTAGGTTGCATTAATTTTGTTGAATATATGGTACTGTGATACTTGATGGAATGACTTTTGCATCTGTTTTTACATGCATTTTTGCATTTGAAACTTATGCAGTTAGACTGGTTGTATGGGATTATGAAATACATGGAAATTTCTTTAGATTTTACTTATTAGGTTTTTGCAATTTATTTACAGATAAGTGACAAATGACTGATTGGTGAGTTAATCAACTCAAGAAATTGCTTCAGCAGCACAATGTGGTAATAGATGACCACTTTAAAAGCAGTCATAACATTATGCCGATAACAGTTGTGTGCTAATTTACTGATGTTCGTTTCTTAACAAAAAGTTGTCATTCACTATATAATAAATGATGTATTCACCTAGTTGAATGTATTTGTGTGATGGCTGCAACGTTGTGATCGAAACTACAAAAGCGACTACAGAAATCATAAGTAATAAGTCCACGGTTGTCGTACTGAATAAAGAGAGGAAATGTAATCATACTATCGTCATTTGGCTGATCATTTGCTCACAGTGTTGAAACTAATTTAATACCTCATAACTATGACATATCTGGTTTCTGAGAGGTCCTTAAAATTTAATGTATTTTTAGCTCTGTGGGGTTACCACACCGGAAATACATAATCTAGTGGGGAAGATCTCTTCAGGCAATTTAAGTGAATTGGATTTAAATTAATTCTTTTCATGCTTTCACACAATTTGGTTAACTTCTAGGGGCTTACTTTATCGAACAATAATTCATGTTGTAATTATATTTGCACCTTAGGCTGTTTTCATTTAGCCTTTTGTTTAGAGAAATAAAAGTAAAGAATGACTTTCTAGGAAATATGGTTTTGTAAGTAAAATCATTATTTTTGTTAGCTCCAGTTATCAAAAGATAGTAGATATACTTACCACTAGTTTGAAGGTCAGCAAATGTTTTCACCATGGTTGCATAGCTTGCAACCAGAGCTGAACTTTCTGCTAACTGTCCAGTAACTATGAGCCTGTTCATTGCAGAACTGTTGTTTGACTGAAGTAAAATTACTGAATTACGTACAACATCCATTGACTTAGATGGAATCTGAAATGAAATACCATTAAAACATAAAAAATTGTCAGTATCATTATTTATGACAGCCTAAAGAGGAATTCTTGTTTTAATGTTGCCTCCATATTTGGGCCGTAACTTGCACCAAGGTTTTCTAGCAAATTAATGTATTCAGTGGTAACAGTTTTATCAATTATTCGAAGTTATAACTCAGTTGATTTGTTATTATTATTACTGCTTTTGGTTTCTGAGTGGGACACAGGGATCCCGCAGCACATCACCATTTCAACCTGTTTTTTTGCAGTTCTGTTCCATAAGCTCCTGCTTGTACGATTTCCTTCACGTCACATTCTGACCCTCACCTCACTACATGTCTCCTACTCAAGCTATATTCGAGGACCTGGCTTGAGATATAAACCGACGGTTTCCTCAGCGTGTCATTTACCTATCTTCATTTTCTTTAGTATACTTTTTAGTTAATAGATTCTTGACTGGTTCCTTCCCAGAGTTTGTTGTTGCTAATTCGTTCTGGCTTGCCACCTGATCTACAGTGTCTAGCAAAGTCAGCTGCTGATAAAAGTCTGCAGTCTGTTAGAAACTCATTCCATGATGCGGCAAGTTTCTGGCCCACACTGAAGAACTGACTCAACATTCTTGTTGAAAATCAAACTCCTGTTGCCTATGTTGATCTCAGCAGATTTTCACCCTGGCTTCCGAGTAATAAGTTCAGGTAATAAGCTTGCTTTTCCAATCCTGCATTTGACGTCCTAATCCAGACGGCTTGTATTTGAAAAGATGCTTCTCATGTTTGTGAGGTGCTAAAGATAATTCTTCTGCCAAGCCCAGATCTTATAGAGCTTTTCCGTCTGTCCAATGTATGCCCGTCTTTTTGCTCCCCATAGTCTGTCGCATGAACCAGACCTCCACAATCACCTCAAACGCTTCAATGAGCTTCTAGTTGTGAATTAGTGACATGTTACATCATCGTATGGTTCTTGAATGAGGTTTATGATTGTTTACTGTGCTGCACTAGGTCATGTTGAAGCAGTTTCAAAATTACTTCACGACAGACACTTCTGAGGGTAGAGATTTGACTGCTATTCTATGCTCTTTTCAATGATAACTCGTAGTGTTGCAACTGATTTGCTCTACCTGAATTCAGCTTATTTGAAGTACCCTAAATTTTGGAAAACATGTTATTTGTTCTCTTCTGAAAATCTGGTTCTCGCTTAATTTGCCCGGCTGAGTCTCATTCAAAACATAAAGAAACTTAATCACGAGCAACCTATAATGCTGTTTAAACTATACACATGTTGCATAAGTAGCTTCTCACAGAAAACACTTATTTTTTAGAAAGAAACTTATCCCTCTATTCTAGTTTCAAGAGGGTTAGGTTAATTCTTATCAAGAAATCGTCATATGTTTATGATAAAAGTGTTTTCTTTTAAATGAGATAACTTACACTAATTTCACCATAGCATACTTCTACTGAACCCCCAAATCTGTCAGAAACATAAACACAAGCATCTGCTGTCTGGTTCAGATAAATCACATAGAAACAAACACTAGGGGAATTTCCACTTGCAAGGACCAAATTGAAGGACGAATTCCTGACTATTAAAAGAAAAGAATTCAGTGAATTTTTGATGAATATATTTCTGAAAAAATATAAAATAATTATCGATATTTTTTGTACTTGAAGTTTTATAGGATAAGGGAAACAATACTGAAATATTCGTTTATTAGATTTATGCAGATGTATCTAAAAGAAATTCAAGCACATTTAAAGATAATCTTAGAGACTATAAAGTAGTATTAGTCGAGATTGTGTGAAGGATATTATAACAAACAGAACCTAAGACTATAACGCTTTGATGATTCTGGAACATTGATAAGTATGAGATTACTTTCAATCAAAGTCAGAAATCAAATAAATAAAAATCCACTACGATCTGCAGCTGTTTGGCAATAAGCATCCACCCGCCTTCACCCCACTGTGTGACATAAAACTCATAAGTGTCTGACACTAGACAACGTGACGATATTTTGTTACTGTTGGAATATTCCTAACTAGAACAAAATAACAGCTGAGTACTCTTTGACTGATACAGACAACTGTTTTGAATAACGTTAAAAAAATGACTGACACTGTTTGAACCGTGTTAATTTAACGTGGAAAATAAACTCATAAGGAAGCCAATGAACAGTATACTCTTACACTGTGAATGTAAGCCTCGATTAATATTTCTATAAGTTTAAAAACCTGATTTACTGCAAAAAACCAAAATCTCATGACCATAATCAGTGATGCATCATTTTAGCAAGGAAATTCCTTGATTAGAGAAACTAGTAACGGCTGAAGATAAAGGTGATCACTATTCAGTACTCCTGTGAATATTTGGGTAAAAAAGCTCCCAAACCTGTGTACATGCTAATACATTTACCATTTGCAAACATCCATCTGTCGTACTTCAACCAATTTAACACTTGTTGACAGTAGCTTATAGTAGTGAAATATTTGTGGCTTTATATAGGTGTATTTTCCGATAACCTCTGAATATATAAAAGTGTAAAATGTATGTTTTGAGTCGAAATTATCAATATTTGTCCGGAAACACTACCAGATTATGAGTTTATGTGTAGGAATACAATTCACCAACGTATGTCTATATCTTTAGGATGCAATCATCAATTTATACCTAGAAGACACATCGGCTGACTGACTGGCTTCCCGAAGGTTTTCACCAGCCAGCATCATTTCACCTCTCCTATTCCAGCCAAAAATAAGTTTGTTTTCTATATTTTTGGTACTTTTAATACTTTTTTTGTGCGTTGAAGTTTCTGTTTTGGTGTGGGTTCGCTGGTATCAGTGAGCTTAATAATAATAATAATTTTTCCTTCGCGTTCCCAGTGGAACATAGGGCTCCAAACTAGTGGCTTGAAGTTTCTGTAGCAGTATTTATTTTTACAGGATGGGGTTGCTAGCCTCATGCTCAACCTTTCCTCTTTACCAGGATTATCTCTGGCTCAGTGAGGTAAAGGAGTGCGCCGGCCGGGGATCGAACCCCGGACCATGTGCATGGTCGGCGAGCGTCCTAACCGCCACACCACCGACGCACTCAGTGTGCTTACACACTAATAATAGAATCTTGACATTTAGGATTATACAGAAACCTTTCACTTTTTAATAATACAAGGGTAATACCAACAAAATTATCAATAATCAATCTGTAGTTAAAACAAATACCATACTTTTTGGCTAAAAAAGTGGGATGCATGGTTGATTTGCTTTGCTAAAACAATGTCTGTTAGGTATCATTCACAATGAACTGTAGAGGTTATCTAGATGCACCAGATGGCTGTTTTAGACCACCTATTTGGATATCGTTTTTTGATCAAGGCCTACGACGTGGCTATTTAATTTATCACTTTTTATATGTTCACATCGAATAGAAGGTGATAAGAAGGAAGTGGAAAATGAAAATCATGCAACCGTCACAGGTCATATTACAAGTAGTGCTAAGGCGAATGGGAAAACGTATGAAGATAAGTTTGCGAATGAAGTACGTGGGTTTGTAATTGGTTCTAAGTCTTATTATCTAGAATATTTAACCATAGGTTCACGCACTCATGTTGGCCCTGTCAGGCTAATTGCACTCCATAACGTAATTCATATTAGCAGTGAAAAGCTTCGTAAACCGGTAATCCCAGTGAAGTGTAAGTTTGCTTTCTATATTTTTTTGTATTCTTAATATTTTGGTTGTGCGTTGAAGTTTCTGTAGCAGTTTGATTGGTTTTGTGGAGAAAGGGCAGCCCTGCCCCCAGCCCTCCCTCTTTACCGGGGCTTGCGACCGGCTAATAAACCAGGCGAGGTTATCTATAAAGTTTAATGGGTTATTTCTGCTGTCTGCAGTTTAAACACAACACTGCATAAATATTAGGCGCCTACATTAAGTCATAAACACCTTCTTAAGCAGCCGAGATTCTCATGCACACGCATAGGCCTATAAATGAAAAAGAGTACAGATAAAATTATGACTACTAATTGATACATACTGGACTGTACACTACATTATAACTCAGTGACTCATTTAACAACTATCTAGTATTAAAGTAGTATCTACTAAAATTGCAATCTCCTTAGAAGAATCATTTAGTGAAATACAGATGTGTCCAACTGAAAAGTCCTATTCAAGACGAGGAATTTCCTATATTCTACTGTCAGACAACAGTGGTTACACAAAAGCTTTTCAAGGGGTGATAGGTTTACTTAAGCGGTTTTTTTTTGTTTCACAAAAGTCATACAATTTAGACTTGAATAACTTACTGAAGAATGTATAACTCAGTCTGCTCACTATACTGCTGAAATTTTTACAGTTTACGCACATTATTTCATTTGTAAGGTTATATGTGCATATTCCTGGCATCGGTTTTGGTAGATAGCTAAATCTTAAACAGACTGTTCCTTTGTACATGTTTCCAGTTAAAGTGGCACAGACAATGCATCCTGTGACATTCGCTGATCGAATCATAAAATAGTTCTTATTAATATGCCAAGAGGAAGTAAAAGTACCTGTTTTAAATGAACAAAGTTGTGAAAATAAATCATAAGAAAATAAGTCACAAATATATGAAATCAGTCATAAACTTTAAGATTACAATGAATGGGGAATAACTTTCACAGCGTATGTGATTCTCACATTCTTTCCTCTAGAAAGAACAATATCACTGAGACACCCAGTTATTGAATTCGTTGCATCAATATTCACTGAATTACTTTGTTTGAAATATACCTCATCCTTTATTTTAAGACTAAATGTTAACTTTTGTACCTGTCTGAATTTATGACCTAAGGCAACTGTAACCGAATACAACTAACCATCATCACTGGTTTATGATTCAGCGAACTAAACATTTTATCATCCATGGCACCAGATGTACTGATTTCAAATAAAGCAAGAAAAAAGTGTTTTAGCAGAATATAATGGAGCAATTATTTATTTTGTTGGTTTTCTGTCCAGCTGAGTACGACCTATATGTTAACTATGCATATGTACAGAGAAATTCTAACATACTTGCTAGGGTTACATGATTTTTCGTCAACAAAGACACAAAATCAGTCGACTGTGCTCAGAAGTTACATGTATACAACTTATGCAAAGAGGTCAAAATTTAAACAAGATAAAAAAAATACAAAATTAATGATCGGACGAGTTGAAAACTGAGGTTCAGTACCAAAAGAAGAGGTGGAAATTTCATAATATGTAACTAATTATCTGCGTGACAGCATTATGAGTTCATCATTAAAACAAAATCTATCCGTAGCGCTATTTTGGCTCATCTGGTGGATACAGAACATAGGATTGATGTTAACCAAGCTTTCAGAGTTATTTATCGGATACCAACAAATCTCAACTCCGCCTTAAGAGTTCGATTACTAAATATTGCTGAGGCTGTTGGGATCCACATTAAAAAGCCTAATTTGTGCGTCCAAAAGAAGTTAGTTCAGACGCTGTCCCTACCTTGGCCATCTAGGTTTGAATGATTCTCAATTTTCGTGAAAATTTCCTAATTTTAGTTGATATCCTACTCGCTATTATATCTTTATTACTATTATAATTTAAGTATTTTTAGTGAACTGTAATTGCATTCATCTTGCTTTACAAATCGATATTATTTAAAAAACGCTAATATTGTTATTAACTACCAACCTTGAGTATTCTGTGTATATAAACATGTATATAATTGTAGAGCCAGAAGAGGAATTTACCGAAAAGAATATTCTTTGCTCGATTATGTTGTGTTTTATAAAATAAATTACGTCAAAGCTTCAACGTTCTGTTTTTATTTTATTTTTGATCACAGCTTGATTCCGCACTGTATTTTTGGTACAAGTATGGAATTTTCAGCCTAAATTTTGCAGGCCGACCATAGATATCAGGTGTGCGTCGGCAGGGAATCGAACCTCGAACCATTTGCATGGTCGACGAGAGTCCTAACCACTGTGTCACCAACGCACAATGGTTTTTAATTCTTCATTCTGATCATCTCAGGTCACTTATTCTTCGCGTAGTTATCACCACTTGAATAATTGAGAATAGTCAAATGCTGAGTTATTAGTCCTTACCAGAAGCTGATCTTATTTACTCTAAGTTTTTCAAGGTTCCTGGTAATCCCTAACTAGGAAACGAGTGCATCCAGTAGATGAAATGACGCACGCGTTATGGATTTCCCTACTAGCCACCGCCACCCAAGCAACGGAAACCGAATTTGACTCACATAGTACACTTTAAAAATGCATCTGTCTAAACATGATCACTAATTATTCCTTTTACTTCTAAACCCATCATCAAATATTCTGTGAGGCAACAAAACGACAACACACAAAAGGTGCATACAATTATCATTCAAAAAGCACTTTGCAGCACTCCCGTCTTGAAAAGAACATAGAATAAAAAATCGTATGATTGTTTTCCTGAGGAATAGGTATCGAAGGATATCTACCAACAACCCAACAGACTAACGTAAATCATCCTCTGAAACGACAGAGAAACCAGGCTTACCTAATGTGAAAAACATTTGAACGATTACTGACACGACATTGAAAAACCTTGGAATAATTGTCACTCACAAAACAATATACTGCTTCCAAACTGTTCTTTGTAAACCAAAAGTGCTAACAAAAAAAGAAGATATAACTAACGTCGTCTATAAAGTAAACCAAATAGAATGCGGAAAAAACATCGTATTGGCCAAAACTAAGAGCCAAAAAAACATGTTACCCCTTCGTTCACATCAAATCGCTTAGGCAGTTGTGAATATCAGTTCAAAAGGGGTAAACACATAGAACGCTGGGGAGTTTTTAGATGTTTGAGACTCAAATCATTTTGCAGTTAAGAAATATACGGGTTGAAATCAAATTTAATGACCAATAAAAAAGGTTACAATGACCAAAATTTCAAACATCGGGTCAACGAGAGGATCGGTATCAGTAAAATGAATGCAGTAATAAGGGAATCAACATAAAGGCAACTACAGTCAAATTTGCCAGGGAAGACTAATATTTCATCAGTGAAAATCTCCCGAAACTGATTTTAGAGTGAAATTAGTGCTGTATGCATTGTATAGAAGTACAGTGCATAATACAATGAAGGCTTCACAATTATACTGTGTTGTTTAGAGAACAAAACAACGTGAGAAAACCATCAGTTGTTCACAGGTATTTTACGTTTAACTTACCTTCTGTGTACATGTCCTGTTTAGTTTGATTAAATGGAAAGGTTTCTCCCACTGAGTTTATCTCTTTAATATCCCATTGGAATTGCACTCCTGGGTCAAAACTGCCAGACTGTGTGAATGCGGTTACATAAAGATCATCAGACTCAGAAATAAACCAACTGGTTTGATTTGATGTTGTCTCCAGAACGTGACACAAATGTGGGATGCTGCATCTAAAGTGATTTTTATATCGATCAGAAAAAGTTTGCTGAAGATTTTCAAAGTTTATGATGCAAAAGGGATGTATGTAATTTTCAGATAAAATTTTAGTATTTTACTGCATTTCATTCTGATAGTCATTTTTAAATTTCAGTAATAATGAGTTATGAATACTTTAGAATAGGTAACAGGATTGATTGTTTCAGTGTGATTATTCCGTATTGTTATGCGTTATCTCTTTTCACTGACAAAATTATGTATACGGGCCACTATTAGATTCAGTAGTGGAACTTCTTAAATGTCGTAGAAAGGTAGTTAATGGATTTCTGAATAACTAAAAGCCAACAAAATAATGACCTAGAGGTACTAAAATATCCTTAATTGGATTTCTGTTGTAATATACTTTATCAGTATCGTAATTTTTAATCTGATAAGGTAGAAGTTTGTGTTACAAACTGGGGAATGGTATCTGGTTAAATTATGGTAAAAGTAATTGCTAATCTACTACTGTTTTATGAATTGTGATACCTAGTTTATTAAAGACTGGATACCATAAAGGCTAAAACTGAATTGATCTAGTTACTTTAAACAACCAAATTCAGAAAGATAATATAGTCTAATTAGTTAAGTTAATCGACTGAGCTACATTAAATCGCCCGAAAAAGGAGGTCAAAATGCTCTTCACACAGAGATTTTATGAGTGTACTTTTATCGCTCTAGGTTTTTCTACTAGTCTCTGAGCATTTGACAAGTTTTCCGCACAAACTACTGTTAGTTGTAGTAGTAATCTTGGAAGCGGAAAAGAGTAGAATCTATGTTTGACCAAATTCCATAGGATTTATAGTGAATACTTGATACTTCTTAGGTAAATGACAGGCAAATCACCGCATATTTTAAACTTAGTGACTTTCATTTTTCACGTTCAGTTGATTTTTTGATGACATAAGCTGGTTTATACAGCGTTTCTGGAAAGCATGTTTCTTCAAAAGCAGTTTCGTTGGTAAAACACATTATGTCTTCCAACTAAACCCTCGCTGTGCTTACCTCTTCATAAACGTTAGTGGTAGGTAAGCCAATGTTAACTCAATGACCAATCTAATAACTTTCAAATATCCCTTAGTTCTAAATACTCTTTTCAGATGATATCATTTCATGAAAACTCTTAAATTATTTTACAATAGTATTGTACTCGTGTAAACGAAAACTGCATAATATTTCTAAAAAGCTGAAAACTTGCTTTACTGAAAACATTGGAGTTGTATAGTTTACTGTTATTATTTGTATTGCAGCTTTTCCAGTGCCTCGATTTGGTTTACTGCCGATTACTGTGAATTCATATGTTGTGTTTATTCTTAAGTTTTCAGTGGGAAAACATAGTGTACCATTGCTTGTATTAATTCGTCCTGGGCCATCTCCAAAACAACCAGTATAATCCAGTTTGTATTGATATCCAAAAGGCTTAGGTAAAATCAAATTTTCAGACGGCTCTTCATTGATTTGTCTGCAGTACCATATCCAAGACCCGATACCCTTATATTTAAAAGAAAGTCTGGGTTACACAATCAAGTAGAAAAAAATTTATTAAAGTACACTAGAAATTTCTAGTGCGTTGTCCATTAAGTAGATTATATATCATTAAGCCTACACTAAGCTGGTATACTCATCTTCAGTCAAGCAAATTAAAACATTTAGCCTGTGTATTACTTTGTATGTTCAATATTAGTGTTGAGTAGAGATAGGATCAATCCATCTCATTATTAAATTTATAATAAAACTGTTAAGATCTTACAAGCTTTGACGCTGATTGGTATTATAATCAGTAAAATTGTTCACGATGTAATAAGCTGGTGACAGATGAGGGCGGTGATGGTTAATTTAACAGAAAAAGCATTTTGAGTCAATGAACTAACCGAATAAGTACACCATTCAGTAGTACCATTTTCCATTAATGGATTATGAAGCAAGGCAGTAGAAAAGACGGTACTTCAACACCACACTAAAAATTCACAAAAGAACTAAATCTTATTATCCAGAAAAAGGTAAATATAGTTAGTTTGTACTACCTGTACATTTCTTTGAAATTCTATCTTTCCATATCAGACTGAGTATGGTCTGGTATAATAATATTAATAATAATAATAATATATTCACGTTATGTACATGAGGGACACCAGTTTACAGGCATCATCAATAAGATAAGTAATATATACATGGACCAAGCATATTTACACTTTTTCACTAACACAGGATATATATAAGGAAAGGTAGTGGAATAATTACAGTAAGCACACTTTTCATAGGTTAAAACAATTTATATGATATAATCCTAGGCACTATTATTGTTTGAATTTGTAGAAAACGCGCGTAACAACTGACAGCTGCGTTACATGTAGTCGATATGGTGGGCTATTCACAAAAGTATAAAAATGGCTTGTAAGACATTGGTTGGTTTACCAAAAACAATGTTTTCAGCAATATAACCTGCAAGAGGCTCACCACAACAGTCAGTATCCATTTAAACATGCAAAGAGGTATTAATGAATCAACAACCCGGTAAATTTTTTGATCCACTTCGGTCAGGAACCAAAATGAATGTGAACTACAAAATGTCGAATGAAGCATGCAGGAGCAGAATATTATCACTGAATTAGTCAGTGGGAATTGAAATGCAGCTGTCAGCATGTTTTCATTACTTCTTAGATATCCAGGTTTATCGGCGCTTTATTAATAATAATTTGGATTTGTCAGAATGATCAACATGGGAATGAATATCCAGATGTGTACTGCAGTCTGTATGCCCTGTGGATTTAGTTAATTGCATTTCGTGTAGGGTTTGATATATTCCGCAAAGTATCGTCGTGATCATGGGAAGTATATGTATGCTTTAAATACGTTACTTCTTTGGATCCTACCACCACTGAGTATGTACAACGGGAACGGTGGATTTATATAATTCCTCGCCACTGTGGATAAAGTATCACCGTACTCCTTTCAGAAAGTAGACTGGTTGGTGGATTATAAATAATGTCTATGTGATGTTGTGCGAAAAGCATATCAGTGTCTCAAATCTTGACACAAACTGTTAATTAGCCAATACTTCACAGTATACAGTAACAAGCAACTGTTAATTTCATACTTCCTGTTCCTTCTAATACACTGCATTAAGGTGCTATGTTTGACACGATCAATCGGGTAGTTCTCGAATTTATACATTTTAAATAGTCATTTCTTTATTGGGTTTAAAAAAGCTTTGTTTCTCCTGTCGGTCGGACACTAAACTATATCTCCCCATCATGACACCATAAGTCTAGCCTAAAGCTAGGCGGAAAACACTAGCTAGTTTCCCCTCACATCTTTCTGGATGAGTTGACTTTTTGTGTGGAGAGTTTCATAAATGATCTGTGAGACTAGTATTTGCGACAACTCAAATCGACCGCCTACCTTCCGTTAAAACATATCTCCGACTCCTTTCAGTAAATAAATCGATCTTAAGCCACACATCCTCAGAAACTTATGAAAGAGAGATCTAAGTATTCGAGAGAAAATGATTAGGATATGTAGCATTGAGAATACTTTAGAATTAGTAAGGGAGGTATGAAAAAGATTGCAAGAAATACATCCTACAAATGAACAGTATCAGCATGATGTATACCACGTCTGTTAGAGAAACAGATAAACAAAGGAAAGGAGTCAATTGTCGTACAAGTCGAAAGGAGTGTCAGGTAGCATAGTTTTATAGAAATTTAAGGGATCTAATATGTCTGAAATATTCGACCTCACTACACAGAAACAACTTCAGACCATAAAATGATCCATGATGACCTTTAAAATATGAATTTGATATTCTGACACTGCCACTTGTACCTAGATCATAGCATCATAAAATGACTATGAGTAAAAATAGACATTTTCATAAATATTAAGTAGCAGTTTACTCATGTTATAAAAGATAATGAAGTACCTGTGGAGAACTTCTGTTCTTGACTTCTGGATCAAGAGAATAAACTTCTGGTTTCAAACATATTTCTTGAGTAGTTAACCCGATTGTTTTATTGACTGGGTTGCCATCATAAAATTGGATTAATAATGGTGGAGGGAGCAGGATTAGGTATGTATGTGCTGAAACAATATATCCGACTGCTGAATCTTTCGGCGCCACATAAGCGAAACATGTGGCTTTATATGTTCCAGATATGAGAAAATTAGCAGGTATACCTAATCTCAATGTTTTTGCACTTAGTTCTTCGTTGAGTGATACTGACTGGATTGGCTGAACAGTGTCTGGATCTATAGATTCCAATGTCCACAATTTTTGATTTTCCTGTAGCATCAAACAGTCTGGGACAGTAAGATTTGCTTCAATATTTACAACTGTGTTGCTGACTGCTATTATTGGATAATTGGGTGATTGTGATGATGTGTTACCTATGGTTAATTTAGGTGGTGGACAGCCTGAATACGTAACTGGCACGTATACTTTAGCTTCAACCATTTTAGTTGGATTCATAGCTTGGATATGTACATAATGAGGTCCATCTGACCTATACTGAACACCTAACCAAAATGTTAGATTAACTGGTTTATTCTCCAGTCGTAAATAAGCAGGACACAAGGGGCATGTGGATGTTGGATTTTTTATTTGTGGATAGTAAACTGAACCTATGCCGTCGTTTTTTGTCACACAGATACATGTATCGTCTGAGTAGGCTTGAAATGAAATACGTATTAACCCTTGTTCGTTGGGTTTCAACATTCCACCACCGATAAGAACAGCTTCCAGCCCACGTAGTGATGTTTTTATTGAGATACCTTTGGAGACTGACTTTGAGCTGAGTGGATTCGAAGCTAGAACTACGGCTGTGTAATCTCCAAGCTAAATTGGTGAGGATATCCAAAAAAGGTCAAGAGGTTAGAAAAGTCAGAAAAACCAGAAAATAGCAATTTTACTTTCAGATCCAACCAGTGGATGATGCAAGAAACACCAAATAAAAGGTTAACCATCCTAATCATAATCAATTGTTTAAGAGAAATAATTATCCTATGGATGAAAGAAAGGATTGTAGGAATAACCGAGGTAATTAATATGCCTTACCAAACTTATTGCAAAATTATGTTGTATCACCATACGACTGCAATATAAAATAACCACCACTGCGTGGGGTTTGATTCCTGGTCGATACATTCCTAGACCTCTCCTAATTTACTAACCGGTAGTAAGCCCAGAGAAGAGGAAAGGTGAAGCTTGAAGCTAAAAATTCCACCCAGAAAACAAACATCACCACTACCGAAACTTCGAAGCTTGAAGCCCTATATTCACTTGATACACTAAAAAGGAAAACACAAATATCGCATAAGTCACTTAAATCACTACAGACTTAGAATCCCTACCTGTATCTCTAAAGTTCGAACACAGATTGTTCAAGTTTTTAGTAGTAGAATTAACTTCCAATTACTAAATGGTCCTGGATTTGAACTAGAAGATACTTTCTATCGAAATCAAACGTAAAATATGGTCTGTGAGTAATGTCATCAATAAAGTTGTTATGGTTTAACCATGTCATTTCTTTTAATGGAATTAGATATTATACAAATGAAAACATCTGATCACTGGGTCAGTGGTGTTCATTATTTATATTAGTCGCTTTTCCATCAAATGCATGTAGAGATCTTAAACAGTGCTTAGTACACTTTGTATGATTGCAATTTTGTAGTCATAGATATCAGTTAATACTAAATTCCCAAAAATTCTTCTAACCGTTACAGTAAGTGGAACTCATTCTCTTTCACCAGTCTTATTCACAATTACTGCTTTTAATCCATTACGAATAGAAACGATTATATTAGGATGATGTAAGATACAAGTACACCTTTAAAGTACTACGCGCTTTACTTCTTCTCATAAATCCAATGACGAAATTTCAGACATGTTAGTTTAAGAAATATTACATCATCTCACTGTGTTATTTATATCTAAACTACAACAAATTATCAAAGGAAACTATCCGCTTGATCGTTTCCGTTCAAGAAAAAGTGAGACTAAGTACAGCTGGTTCCAGTAACCCCTTTACTAAACTTTCACCTCTCAGTCTATGAGTATCTTGAGCACCTGACTAGTTTAAGAAAAGTATGTCATCATTTCGAAGTTACTACGTGAATATCCTCTAAGTTAAAGGTTCTAGTAGAACGCAAGGAACTAATAAACTTGGGAAAATTACCTCAGTCCTTAAATGACCCTTAAGTTAGGGTAAATATTCTTAATCACCCCAGAAGAGAGTGAAAGTGGAATATATTGTATGAACACATGAAACCATTATTCCTGTGGTGAACAGTCCTCCCTATGAGAGCTTGTGTCGTCACATCAAACGGGACATCCTTTTCACCGCTACTTTTTACAGATCAATTCCCTTAATTGCAAATACCAAGCCACTGGATCATGAAAAAGGTAGCGTATGAGTAAATTACCTGTTTGAATGTATACAAAAAGTAGTTGTTCCAAACAGTTGCTGAATCTAACGTCAGATTATTATTTCGATCTATGATTGAGTATGTGACGTTGGCCACATTGTCTGGTCTGCCATCAGCGTATACTTGAAACTTCAGTGGGACTCCTAGAGGATAGCAGTTCTTTTCTATTCCATAACCAGGATCACCTGTTGAAGCCACTGTTATTTGTAGATCGACTTGTTGAAATACGCCAAATGCACCAATCTTGTTTAAAATAAAAAATTTTTAAAACCGATATTGTTTTTTTATGTCTTCTTATCAGTATTTATCGAAGAAATGACTTAGTCCACATTGAAAAAAGGTAAGAAATATAATGCCCTTGTAATCACAAATAGTATATTAGTAAAACATATCAGCTGCAACCATGGGTTTCCTTGACAGTTTCGACAAGTAATACAGATTTCCTGCGTAACACCTACTAACTTCTCGATTCAGCAGTTAACTAACTAAAACACATAGAGTCCATTCCTTCAAGCGTATTTTAACAGTCAAATACACACTGCTGAAATGGTTTATGCTGGACACTAACACATAAGTGATTAGTGTGGTTTTATTTTAACTTTCTTCACTCAGTTGATTATCGCCAAATTCTAAGAAAAATATTTAAAAGTTTCTTAGCTAACTGATGCTTTAGGTAAATTACAAAGCTTCACTGAACACACTACAAAAGTATTTAGATCTCAGTCGGTCGGACTGTTTATCGTCCTTCTTCGTAAATTGAGTGTAACTTTATAAATAGACCCACTGTTTCTGGCTAGTATAGAAATCTTGAAACGTATTCTCAGCCTTCAAACTTCTTCACATTTGAATTTACATCCACACGTACAAACATATGCTCACCGAAACTTTACTTAATATGAAGTGAGTTAATGTTTAAGTTCCTTTACCTGGAGCTAATTAGTGGTATGTCTGCGACTTCTTACCTTTCGACATCTATGAAAACTCCTAAAACATGATAGTTCACCAATTCCTTGATAGTGAACTAATTATAGACAATCTGATTAAGCCGTTGGGCTTAATAATTATTTGATAAAGTCTTTATTCAGTCCAGTGATTATCAGTATCTTGAGTCATTTGAGAAACGCTTGAGAATCAAATTATATTAAGAAATCTTTTTGATACGTAGTCTCCTATTCACAATATTAACCTGTAATGTGTCAAGTAGCGAAGCAACACCGGCATCTTTTAGTGTGCTTCAGTTCCTAATCTGAAAAGCACAAGTTGTTGAAAAACATGGATCTTATAATTTCTGCTCAAATTTCAACTTTTGTTTTATCGGTGAAACTTAATAGGAACTTTGTTATGGTTTACTAAAATATTAATGAACGCATACTAACTAACCTGTATAGTTTGTGTCATATTGCTTATAATATTGTCCAAGGTCACAGAAGCTTGAAAATAGCCCAGACTAGTTAAAGCACGAGTAACTGTTACAGGTTGATTAGCTGAAGTTAACATCCCTTCTGTGGGTGCACTTGTATCACCCCATACAACCACGTATTTGGCTAGTGTTGGAAAGATGGCAGGTAAGCCAGTGTATGTCAGGGTAAATGAAACGATTCCTGTAATATGAAACATGTAATTAAAAGATGAATCTACCACTGTGTAAAATTCAAAAGTCTTTTAACTCCTAATGTTTTATTCATTCATTTTTATAAAGGTCCAAACCTTTCGTATGGATTTTCTAAATCACAAGATATTTTGCTTTCCTATTATCAAGACATTAATCAGTTATCGCCGTAAATAAGTAACCTACGATTAACTCTTAGTTTTTAGCTTGCCACACTATGAATAAAGCATTTCATTGTATTCCGTTGATCACTAGTGTAAAATGTTGTGCTATTTTCCTTGCTACCTTGATTATAATTTACGGTGTCAAGCAGATGACATATTGTGACTTCATTGTTTTGTGTTTCTAAAGTAAACAGTAGTGAATTATCATCCTAAACTGTATAATTTACTATATGGTAATTTTGATTCAATTACTTATTTTGCTTACTAGCATTACACTGAAACAAGTTTTGTAGATATGTAGTCAGACAAAAATTAGTCAGCACTGAGCTATCATATGTCCATGAACTTCTAAATACTTTGAAACACCAATATGCTCCTCAGTCTGCATAGTTGAAACATAATCAAACGTAAACCCAATAAACATTGTTAGAGGAAGGTGTCAAAAAACAGCAGAGGATGAAAGATTAAATTTGGTTCAAATAAGTGATATAGTATCCTCTGGAATTCCTGGAGAAATTCACTTCACAAATGTTCGATCACAATGAACCAAAATATGTTGATACAAACAGAAAACACATTCTTCTATCCAATGTTCAGTCACAAGTGAGATCTGAGTTTTTACCTTATCTTACATTATAAGACTTCCAAATACAACTTCTTACCATGACGTCATATAAGAAAAGAAATCCTTCTTTGGTAACAGTATTGATAAGTGAATAGAATGAATCTGTAAATAAGCTAATGATACAATAAAATACAGTTTGTTTTCTGTTTTACAGTCGTTTTATCAGTGGAAACTCTCGCCATTAATAGTCGTATGTCTTAGGAATTTCTGGTTAGATCACAACTGGAGTAACAATTAAATCATCGACTACATGACAGTAGCTGATAAAGTGAATGAAGTACTCACCTGGTGGATATATGGCATGGCCACCATATTTAATGTTCACATTTTCTATTTTATTGCGTACATCGACAGCAACTGTGCAAGTTTCATTACTGACTAAGTTTACAGCCCGTATTGTCTCAAAATACAAACCGTCTGCTGGATAGCTATAATTGATCACTGTTACCTGAGGTGCTAAATAAATAATTTAGAGTAAAACAAAAACAACCAGTGAATACAAACAAAAATGCAATGAACGTTTAACTGCAAAGACTACTCATTGTATTGAATATGAATGAGGATCATTCTTTTCAGAACTATTATCCGTCCACTTACTAAAGAGTCATTAGTACATTAATACTCAATAGTTACCTCTTAGAACTTAAAGTAACGCAGGCTGGACAGATTTCAAAGCCTCTTTTATGTTGCAGCGCAAATAATGAATGTCAAAATCTTTATAACAAACCTGAGATTATAGTGGTATTGAAACTTATAAGATCACTGGAACAAAATCTGGTCTTACAGTTCGAAAGAAAACCGCAGCAGGCTGATACATTTTGGTGGGGTTGAATTTTTCTGCAACAGAACAATGTTAATTTTGAGTAGGCTGACCACAAAGTAATTAAGCTTCGTAGTGTAAATTAACTTCGAATAACTTTTTCCAACCTTCTCTTAGCTACTTCAACAACACTGTCTCTTGTTTTCTCTAACCTTCGAATACTTGTTAAAAACGTTTTCTGGATACCTGTTTCTGGGTGAAGTATCTTCCTGAGTTTTCATCCCATAATTTGCATTGTCACAGCAAATCCTTGTACCACACCAAAAAGTGTCCTAACCATGTTTTTTCGTATTGTACCAAGACACAACTGCTGAAGTGAAGACATTATCGAGTTCCACCGTGAATTTTAAATTCAATGAAATTTTAAAAATAGTACTTCTGATTCCGTTGTTTTGTAAATGTGTTGAAAGTAGCATTCAGATAATTACGGTACATTTCTGCCTGTTCTATGAGATATTTAAATCAGTCCGTTACTAGGCTTGCAAGGAACAGGTTAAGAAGTAGAAGTCTCAAAAACCTCAATATGAAACCATTAACTTTACGAAACAGCTGAATACCCAAATGGAAATGGAAAGTTTCCGTGAGCAAAAGCAAGATTCTCCACATCTTTTCAACTACTTTACATGCAGATTCAATAGTCTTGTCAACTGGACATCGGTGGACAAAGAGACAACATCACATAACACAAAATGCTTACCACAGCTATTGAAATTGGTAAGGCTTTGGGGAAAGTCGAACGTTTCAGTAAGAGTGTATTTTCCAAAGAGCTTACACGACTTGGGCATTTTGAAAAACTACTGGACCACCTTATGGTGTGATGATTTAATCATTTGTGGCAAATCTCTTAAACGTTCATATGAATTTAAACTGTGAGGAATAACTGGCCTTACTAAGTTGTCTAGGTTACCATAATGGAAAGTTACCATTAATAAAAGATGACATAAGGCTGATATATATCACTGGTCCCTGATGATTTATTGGTGACTCGATTATAAGTTTTTAACTACGATTAAATAACTATCTTTATATCTGTCTTCTTTTATACATGTTCACGAAAGGCCAAACCTGTACCAGGTATCGTTAAAAATCAAACACATCAGTAAGATCAGTAACTGTGTGAATGAAAAATTTACAGAATACATTTCTTGAAAATTTATAAATAGCCACTGAATGATTACACGTTGTACGTATAACCTGCTTCAGTTCTTTGTACTCACTCTCACTATAAATTCAGAATTTAATTCCTACTTCTGTAATCTTTAAATATGGCGATTTCAACCAGGAGACTATGGTAGTTAGATAATCAGATACATATTAATTTTGTAACAGTAGCAGTAGAGTATTCTTATTGATATAATGTTTTCTAAACGTCATCCAGGTAAAAATAATGTACCTTATTGCGTTGTATCAAAAAAGTTGTCTGATTTGCAAAAAGAGCAGTTTTTCGTGCAAATCGATCGAAGAAATAGAGAAAAATAATCTTTAGAGTCAACAATATATTTTTACTGAGAATGTCTGAGGAAGACGTTCTCAAATTACCAATATATATTGCCTTTCTGAATAACTGATTATGACACTAATTTAAGCTCAATTAAATTATGTCTGTCTGCTACTAGTTTGTAAAATAAGACTAAAATTGAGAATATATTCGATATTTTACTGCTTATTACAATTCTGCTTGAATCCATACCTATATAGTGCCTGATGCAAGCTGTGTTGGACTTATATCTTGGTGAGGAATAATCCAATTACCATGAAATTTCCAAAGAAAACCTATAATTGGCAGAAGTTAGAATTCATGGGCCATTGGATTGGGTCCCAGTGTCTTAATGGTCGGTCTAAGAGCTCGCCTTGTAACCAGAACTTCCCGGGTTCGAACCCCGGTGGGTGCGTACGGATGAAAAGTCACAAACTAGGACGAAACAGTTGACCAATACTCCCAGGTTTTCCAATGTTTCTCTAACTGATGAAATCCAGTCAATGAAACAAAATCCCTATGAAATCAATACTTGAAAAAGGCAATCTATAATTCTTCTTAGTGCTAACACTTCCTACACACTAACACATAGTATTCATTTGAATTATTTTAGATCATTCCATCTGTTGGCAGTATAGTTGACGTTGGCTGACAGTGAGTGGAACAACGGATAGTATTTTTATTACTTTGTTAAAACAAAGTTGTTGAACTTTCCGCACTACCCATCAGTGAATAATTGACTGAAAAAACAGATAAAACTTACTAGGTAGACTGAATTGTCGTACATCTGTCCCGTTATTCAACAAAGCATTAATGATAACATTTTGTGCTGCTTTGTATGAAACTGAAATTATTGCTGATTTCCCCTTTTCAACTGGATTTGGTAAAACTTGACAGCCAAAATTTTCAATTTTTGAACGTGCTTTTATTAGCGTCGTAATAACCTTTTGATCGATTGGATTCGTAAGTAAAGCTGTAACAGCAAAATCTCCCTGAGTTTTGTAAACATGATTGTAGACATTACCGTCGAGAAAATCGTCTGTTATAAATGGGCTACCATCACCCCAGTCTAAACTTATTTTAGTCAACACTGCAGGATTACCGGATTGTCTTACGAGAGTTAGATTGATCAAATTGTTAACGATACTGAATTCACTACTTGTCGTAGCTGAATAAATGCCAATCCTATCAATTACATAGACGTTTACGCTTCTGTTCTCTGTGTTACCCCCTGAAGATGCTGAAAATCTTACAGTGTATGTGCTGACATTTAGGTACTGTTTAGTTAACTGATTGTCAGTTGGCCAGTTCTGAAGCAGTGGTGCAGACTGCTGAATGATTTGTCCATCTCCATAATCAACATTTAGTACAATCGATGTGCCTTGTCTGAAGGAAACACGAAAAATTGTGTTTTCTAACGGACTGACGTAGCTGAAAAAGAAAGAGAAAACAGTATTTTTGGATGGCATTGTTTGTCTGATTAGATTATGCAGAATATTCTAATGAGTTAAAACAACCTAAGTCTGGAATCAGTAATTTGTCCTTATATAATAGATGTTTCCAGTAGAACCCCAATGGGAAGCTGCAAGTTGTTCGTTTGAGGATGATTTGCACAAAACCACGTGAAGAGGAAATAACAGTTAGTGAGCAGCTATGAAACAATTTGAAAGTGGTGATAGAGAACAATGTCCAATGGACATGTGTTCTGAAACCTTGTTTTCCCCTCGGAACGTAAGGAAATAATAACTAATAACAATAATTCTGAAAAATGACGTGACTGGTTTTTGAATAACAGTTGTGTATCAAAACCCTACTTTCCAGTAAAATTGCCTCGAGGATACCCTTACAACCAATTTTTACTGTCAGTCAAAGAATTTTAGAGTTAGGTGGATAATGATGACCTAGCAAGAGTAAGAATAAAAATGTCCTTAGATATAGTAAAAAAAATCAGCAGTTTTGAATGTTGTCAGATGGTTCGTCTTAAAAAGCTATCTTTACCATTCTGTGGGAAATACATTTCACACGGTTAACATGAGGATCATACTGTGTAGGAGATAATTCGTCCACTGATACTTCAGTGACATAATACGACTTCTAGCCACCTCAGTATGTATTAACCAGTTAACTTCTCATAGAGCAAAAGACATTGACTGTACATGTTGTCGCGTCTGTGAATGTATTTTGGAACATCTTCGAACCTGGCTAGCCAAAGGGGAGGGGGGAATGTCACTATCTTTATCTTCCAACACCTTAAGAAATCTGGCCATTAGGCACCTCAGTATGAATACTTCACAGTGATATACAGGATCCTCTGATATCGAATCAGGAAACATGAGACTACTGGTAGATAGCTGCATTATATCCAACCTCTGTATCTAGAAACAAAACATTTACTCGCTTATCTTACCATGGCTAGTCTAATTTTTCCGACCGTAATTGCGTTTGCATCTTTATCTTTGTTTTACTTATTTTCACTGGTAACATTTCAAGTAGGTTTCCTTTAACTAATGTACTGTCTTTTCCACTTCTGCGTCCAGTGTAAAGACAGGTACCAGAGGGATCTACCGCTATGTCAAATAGACAACCAGAATTTAGAATTCATGGGCTGTAAGTACCTTCCCAATGCCTGAATGATAATGTCCTCGTCTCGTAACGTAAATGTCTAAGTGGATTCATGGATGCTTACTGCTGCGAAGTTTCAAGCTAAAACGAAACATTTATCCGAAATTCCCTGGTTTTCAATGGCCCTCTGAATGATTTCGATTGATAACAAAATCTCTACAAACTAACACTTCCACTGACTACTTTTAAGACAGAACAATAAATTGCTATTACATAGCTCTTAGTGTATATCCACGGGTGCACAGGACATACTTTAACTTTTATTTACAGAACGCGTTACGCTTTTCTGTGTCATCTCATGAATAAAATAAATTAGGTGGCATAAGAAATCAATTCAGAGGTATGTCACAATTTCAGTTGAAATACGCTAAATCTAGATTTTAATAAAGTTACTGTCCTAAATGATGGTTTCGGTTAGTTCTCCTTAGAGGTTCATTCATAGGTGAAGCATTCAGCCAAGTCTACTTGAGCTGATGCGCATTTTTGCAGAAATCCACCCTGATCTGTAAGTTGGTTATTTTGCAGGTTATTTTTATGTCGATTTGTGATTCGAAGTAGTAAAAGCGATCTATAAAATCAATGTTATATTCAGTTCACACGATGATGATGTGGATTTTAAGATATATCATACTTTTTTTCTTATGTACAACAAGACATCATGATTACCTCCTTTAATTTCTCCCACACTTCTATACTGTACTTAGTTCTTTTGAATATTCTCCTCGTTTTTATATATTGTAAAAATTACTTTAATAGATTTCATGCTGAAATAACAGGGACCTCACCCACTTGGTTATATCCATTCAAAGTATAAACGATTATTCATTGTTCAAAACAAAGTTCTGAGTTCATCATCACAAAACTAAAACTTACTTTGGCTGGACTTGTAACGACATGCCTTGCAGTGGAATATCGAATGATATTTGACCACTGGTTGAATTTGAATTAATTTGGTTGCTTAGTGACAAGCTGTAATTTCCTAGCATTGACTGTGGAATGTTTATTGGGTCAGATGTAATAGTTCTTTGTGTGTAATCAATGTTTGAATTCAGTATCTGATCATTAAACGTCAAATTACTTGTTAAATTACTACCAGTTATGAAATCGAAAACAATTGGAGTAGTTACTGCGACTGGTAAACTTCTTGTCCGAAGTGTAAGTCCTTTTAGAAAGAAAAGGAATAAGCTTGGACGTATTTTTCGCTTATGTAATTCGAAGCTGCATCGCAAACAAAGGCGAAGTGTACTGATATTTTTTAAACTAATTTATGCTGTCACACTGGTTTTCCTGTAAGTTTGCTTCCTATTTCAAAGATGACAGTAATGCAGATTGCTAAGAAATCACTGGCTACTTCACAGTTTTATCTCACTCTAAGAATCGTTTTGATTTCTAATTGAGATTTCAAGTGGTTATTTACCTGTCTGTGTTCTTAATATGGATTTTCTGCTGTTGGCTAGTTGCTTTCCCTTTGATGTGTTCCCTTCATATAAGATTCTAAAGCCTTAACATCTGTGATTTATCTGAAACTTTCCGTACTGTTCACACAGACGTCACTACATTTCGTTTTAGTTATATTCCATATCCATAATCCCTGGTTGCTCCGCGACTTTTATAAAACAGACTTCAGTAATGCTTTCTGCTGTCATATACAAATGAACAGTTTTCATAAAACGCTGCATACTGGAATAGTAAGCTGAATCTTACAATTCTTCACAGTGATATATCACTGTGTGATATATCTAATAAGCAAACTAATATGGAACTACTGGTCACTTTTATTACGTAAAGCAGCCATCACTAAACGCCCTTCAATATTAGTTAGTGATTGACTGAAATCTATTTCTCTATTTCAGTATTGCTATCAAAAAGATTAAAAGTCTACCACCTTAAAGCATAAGTCAGTATACTCTCAAATAGAAATCTATACTTACCTGTCAAACGCTCCACTACATGTTGTACCAAACTTCTGCTAGCATTTTCTACAAGAGTCACACAGGTAACATTCCATACCATTAAACCGGTCATGTTATATATAATTTAACTGTGTAAGACTGTCATTTTTAAATGGAACGTTGTTTAGGGACCATAAGCAAGTGAACATACTTCCAGTGATATTCAATGTAATCGTGGTTATCTCATTCTTTGCGGCAAATTGACTACTTTGAATTTCGTTAAATGCAAGCCGTGGTATTACGGTCACATTTTGTACAATCACCTTGAACTGAACAGAATTGGATATGTTGACTGTAAAGTTATAGCTCATCACAGTTGTGTATACATATTTTAAATACTTGACTGTAGTTGTCACTACCGGTGTACCATCGCCCAAGTTCCAAAGATAAGTAGCATTTAAGCCTGAAAAGAAAACAGGAAATTTACAGAAAACAACAGTAGTACACTTAGTCAAAAAAGGCCAAAGAACACATTCCAGAAGACTGAAAGTCAAAAAGAAATCAATAAGCTTGATCAAACAATCTACTATAGTTAGGATATTTTCCCGATCAAACTGGTATTTGTAGATCAAATAAACCAAAGGAACAGGACAATACACTCAGGTAAATGGCATACCTCTAAACTGTTTTATTTAAACTGTGGAAAATTTATTTTCCGCTTCTTTATCGCAACTAGGCCCATCATAATTGTATCTCGACTATTAAGTCATATTTTTTAAAAAAAATTCAAGCAAACAGATTTTTATTGATATAATGCTTTGATCGGACGTTAGCTGGTAACTGGTATCATGCATCTAGTCCTTTTTGAAGTACAAAGAATTCTATCGGTTAAGCTTGTAATGTGGCCATCATACTAGGTGGCTCGCCATCATGGTGCACTTCGAATAGTTGCCATTAGATGGTTGGAGGCAATCATCAGGAAGCCTAGCACTTATGTTTTGTGATTGTTCTACAGGAGATCTCTCTCAAGTCCAAATAGCTCAGTAGTAACGATTCTGACATCAGTACTGGATGATGTGGATTCGAATCTCAGGAGGGACGTGAGTTCCTTCAGAATTGCAGATACGCTCTGTGACGAGTTCCAACCAGCTCGAAACCTAGGTCCAAGGCTTTCTGCCTATTGTCTTCAGCCATCTAATAACAACTGATATGATACACCCATTTATATTCTGGGGGATTCCACAAATTGATATAACAAGCTTTATAGGAATTTTAGTGTTAAGTGATTTATGACTAAATGTTTGACGTCAGATTACAGTTTTCTTCAGAAATGTTTCGATCAAAACGGCAGAAAAATGGCTCAACTCGCACTCAAGTTTCATATCAAAAGGACAAGACAAGTTGACTGACGAGTTATATTTTACTGGAAATTTTACTGACTTCTTAGGAGATTGACTAAGCACTATGAATTACCACTTAACATACCACGTGTAAATAATACTTCAACCGTTTTAGGATTCTCTAGTGTTGTTAGTATCTTCGGGAATGTAATGTTTTGGCTCGAATAGTTTAGAAGATTAAGTTGTTAAGTGTTGATTTCTTTTGACATAGTTATTATAACTTTTGTTAAACGTTCACTGTAATTGAGTTACCTTTTTCTGCAGTGTATGCCAGCGTCTGTTCTGCATAGTGAAATGATAGTGAACGTATTATCTCATGAACGCTACTGGCCTTAAACTAAGAAGGAGAAAAATGGTATGTTCATTTGATGGCAATTCTAACTGAAATCCACAATTTTTCATGAGAAAATCTGGAATACTTTATTACCTGTATGAGCTTTCAGTTCTAATAAACATTCTTTTCCTGCAGCACATATATTTGATATCAATTCCGTTTCATTAATGGGTTCATCAATGTAGACAGTAGTTTGAGTAGATGCCGGTGACATAAAGTTTTCACCCCAATAGCTGTTTAGTTGGACTGATATTACCTTAAAACCGTATGAGGCATTTATCATTCCGCTCAGTGTTGCCTCATAAATTGGTCTGATCCATGCTCCAATCTATAATAAAGATACATTTATTTGTGCTTTGTGGTGTTGAATGGAAATTTTAAACAAAAATGTGTTTTATTGATAGTTAGGAGAAAACTTGGGCACTATAGCAAATACATACAGGATACAATGTTATTTTTATATAATGGCAGTATTATACAGTAATATTTACTGATGCCACTTCAAGCCTAATTTATTGCTCATAATTATATCAAGGCACTTACACAACTTTCTTGCTTAATTTTTATTTATTTATTTATGTGCATACCTTGATATGATTATGCACAATAAATTGTACTCGGAGAGTCATCAGTAAATATTACTGTATAACACTGTGTGACTTTAAAAAGATAAAATTTTATCCATAATGGAAAAATGTGGTTCTACTAATGGTGCTACTTATTGATGTATGCTTCTAAATAATTTGGAGAGAAATTTTGAATAACGTTACTTTGTTCAGATACTATGAAAATTATTAACGACTACTCAATTAGAACGGGCGTCGGTGGTACAGTGTTTAGGACGCTCGCCGAACATGCACATGGTTCGGGCTTCCATCCCCGGCCGACGCACCCTTTATATCGCTAAGCCAGAAATAATGCTGGTAAAGAGGAGAGGTTGAGCATGAGGCTAGCAACCCCATCCTGTAAAATAAACACTGCTACAGAATCTTCAAGCCTCTAGCTTGAAGCCCTTTGTTCCACTGGGGAACGTGAAGGAAAAAACTCAGAACATGAACAGAGTTCAGCTCTTCATAGCTTCGACTATTTTTCGCCACCTGATATCATTAGGTGACGAAAATGAATGGTTTCCTAAAACATTTTGTTTCATAATGAAATAAATAAGAATTTATCAGTTTATTTCACTGCAATCAAAGACAACTAACAGTGATTTCTAGGAAAGAGCCAAAGAAAACCTCTCAATTAGAATCCTAAATATGAATAATATTATCACGGTCTCTATTACAAACATTCTCACGGAAAGCTGAGATAAACCCAATTGTTTTACTCCAATATGTCAAGAAAAACAGGAAAAACTGCTACCTAAAAACACATGTTATAATTTACCTACCTGATGTCTCATTAGTGTTAAACGTTTTAGGTTACTTCCTAACACAGAACTCCCATTGACTCCGGAAAATACTGTTAAGCTTTCCAAGTCGTCAGCTTCATATGTGTCAGAAGGTGCACATCCGATACTTCCATCTATGGTGCTAGTAAATCCTATTCGATCACCTGACTGGACATTCCATACTGAAGGCAGTACAATACTTTGCCAGCCCACTGCTACTGATTTGGCTGTGTAAATCTGTGAAGAGAATATTTCAAAACTCAAAATATCATTTTAGATAATGTTAGCTAAGTCAATCACTTGATGAGTATAAACATGTATTCAAACACAATTATAGTTCACCGAAAAGTCTGATGAACAAAATACAGTGTGCCAACAATTAATGTTACGATGTGGACGGAAAATTTTATTCTGTCTACGCATATTCTGAAAATGAAATACTAACGACTTTCTTTGAGAGAAATAGCAATTAGGGCTAATATAAGTATAAAACTTGGGAACTGTAGTAGATTATAACTCCATCATAGATAAGATTTAATTTTAATAAAGCCTCATAGTGTTATACAGTAATATTAAATGATGACATTCCGAGCGGTTAAGGTTAATAGCAAAGGGCAAAACTTCACAAATAAATCCATACCAGATCAGCTTATTCGATTTAACACAGTACTGACAACTGTATAACGTCTCGGGAACAGATTATTGCTCAAATTCTAAAAGCAGATTAGTCGTACTTCATAAATAAATTTTAATACTTTATTACATACGAAGTCTATTAGAAATAAAGGGAAAGACTAGCTCAACAGTAAGACCATTTATCTCACAATCAAGTAATCAGATGCATTCTGTAATGCGGAGAATATTTCCCATCATCATTTTTAGCCATTTTAACATGTTAACATTTGATTCAAAGTGTTGAGTGGAAAGCTACTGTTTTCTTCACAAGAGAAAGCCAGTCTCAGATAATGGTCTCAAGATGAAAACTTGTAAGCTCTTATTCAGATAAATAAAATAACTGAATTACGACCAAAAAAGCTATAAAATCAAGGTGTCGCATGTTGAAGCAAAAAGTAAATGGGAAGAACTATGGTGGCTCCTCTGATATAGTGACAATCTTTCTATGTTGAAATGATTATCCTACTTATCTCGATGTTCATTTTGCACATGCATAGTAAACTAAATGTGCACACTTACGGCCTCATTTCATACTAACCGTACATAGAAAAAGCTTAAAGTGGTCTTTAGCATTGTCAGTTCAATGAGTTTGATTCATATGAAAACTTAGGATCTATTCTCCTATCACAAGTAGTCCCTGGAACTTATGTCCTTATAAATACCACGTGCATATATCGTACTTATTCAAAAGAATCTGAGTTTCATTCTATCGAGTGGTATACCACTAGATTGATAGTCGTGTTGTGATTTCCTACTGAGTAGATGGATTTATATACGTCTTACTTATCAGAATGCTCGTTTATCCATCACTTAAATAATATTCTGCAAATATTTAGTGTAGTCAGACTCTTTTCCACTACATACTGATTCATTCAGAAAGTGAAGCTTGAAAAGTATGCTTATTCTGAAGCTTTTTTGATATGGCTTTCAACTTGAGCCATTTATCACACTAAAAGGATAGAGTCAAACTTTCGGCAGTTTTATTGATTATATCTCAAGACATTCTAAAATCTGAAACACTGCTACTGATTTGTAGCTCCTTAGTTTGACCATGTCAATCACAGAAACTAATTAGGTAAAGTCAGTAAACAAATAAATATCTTCAACTCAATGTTTCTGAGTGCTTAAGAAACGACTCGAGATGATACATTCATAATTATTAACAGTAATCAAGAGGCAGTTTATTGGTAACAGCTGCGGTTTGCAAACAATATGCATAAATTTCACCTTCTACTTAGTGCACCATGTTATCTGTCTATAACTGATTTATTTTTCACTTAGTAAATCTATTAATCGCATTATGTGTCTTCATACATGTTCAAGCTAAAGAACTCCATTTTTCAGATGAAAGGCAGTTAGGATTTCATACACTGCAGCCAGGAATAAATAAAAACAGTACATAGGAAAAAAACCAAGACGTCATCCTATACTATCTGAATTGATAGAAAATAATGGTTTCATATTTTAAAGACCTCGAAATTAAAAGTGATGGGAAAGATTTGCGGCTCATTTTGATCCTCTTTTATTGTTGTGTTTTCTGGTATCTATGCTTTAGTCCCTAACCTTTCATTGCCCTCCTAGATAATGTTTTCAGTTCCAACTTCACAGTGAAGTGAGCTTTAGGAATGTTTTATGGATGAAACAACTCTTTCTCTCTCTCCCATGGTAACTCTAAATGCGACTCTACAGAAATTTCATAAACATTTTGTTCACTTGCATTGGTGTTGTTCATTTTATCGACTTGATATTTGGTCATGTGACCTATTCTTTAAATCTGATTCATATCACCATGTTTATTAAATGCATATTTATCAGAGTACTAAGCTTCTAAGAATTCTCTGTCACATCTTAGTGTTTAATCTGTTTAAGATACACATATTTCTCCAGATGAATTGATGTCCGGCGTCTACATCTGTTGGCATGAGGAGAAAAGATCACATTCCTTGATTGTTAGTTTGTGTTCATGGAATCCAAAATGGTGATATCCATCTTGAACAATAATAATATCTAATATATATTGTTGGTCTTATTTTCTTTTACCGTTGAGTCTTACTGTCAATTTATAGTAGGTTGAAGAGACTTTGGTGGTTCAAGGGAGACATTTATTTCGAAGAATTCCCCTATATTTTTAGAGAATTCAGAAGTGTTCCATGTCAGGAGAGTTTACTTTGTGTTTTCAGGAGAGGACTTATATTCATAGGTTGATCTGTGGGTAGACAACTTTTCATGAAGTTGCATGAATATGTTTTTCTAGAAGACCATCAGAATATGTTCGTCTTCTATTTCCTTCAGGATATGAGTCTTACAGTGATTCTTGACTATTTTGATTGAGGTATATACACAGCTCCTTTACAGTGACGTTGAAATTTCGCCACTTTAATTGAGTACTTCACCACTGGGTTGATTCTTGTGATTTTAATTTTTGTTATCTCACTTCTATTCTCTTGCAAATTTATCACTGGCAAAGTAGTTGATTAGGTTGTAAGCCGTTTATGAATCCATTTTTCTAATCACAACTTATGTGTCATTCAAGTAACATATCTAGGTCTTAGATTTGATTATTGATAAAACTATGGTTTGCACTCTTTGCATAATATTTCCAGAGACAAGTCTTCATATGGGAGATCAAATATGTGTCCTTCATATATCAAATCAAAAGATTTCATTGTCGTTTGCCTAAATATCCTTAATATACGCCAGAAACTTGATAGAATACTTTTTAACGTCCTTATAGGTACTTTAATTTCCCATGGAGTTCCTTGTGTCGAGGTTCATGAAAGTGAAACGATTGATTGTGGATGGATATTTAGCTTGCATAGATTATGCCCACAACAAAGTTGCTGCAGAATTGGTCCATTAGATTACACTGGTTAGTGGTCTTTAATTGTGATTTGTCCTAATTTGATAAGTTTACTTAAGCTTATTTCGATTCTATATGTTCAGTGTTTGGGTTAGATATACATCATACTTTCTTGATGTTGACTTCTTTCACCATAACTACCATCTCTCTTTCTTTTTTAACCAGTAGTATAACTAGGTTCTTTCTATTCTTCATTCGTTTTAAGGTGTTTGTTCTTGAGTAGTTAATTAAATACTGCTCTTTTTCTGCCCAATAATTGGTAGGACAGTTTGGCATATTTCTCGTAGGGTTTCTGCATTTCAGCTTCACCTCAGTGTATATTCAGCACTCAGTTTTCTGTCTAGAACAATGACAGCTTTGGAATTAGGGATTGTAGTTTGGAAAGTATAGCAACATTAAAAATAATAAAAGTGGATTTCACCATCTGCCAGGAATTTGAATATGGCAAAAAAATACTGAAGTCTTAAAGACACTATTATTTACGATTTTAGAGGATTTACCACCATGACTTCAAGTATTGTTTTTGTAGGGATTTTGTTTGATTGGTTGGAAGATTTCATCATGAGTTGGCGTCAGTTAGAGAACCATTGGAAAACCTACAGGGAGTACTGCCAGACAACTGTTTCGTCCTATTTAGGGACTCTTTACATTCAGCTTATCACTTACCACTCACCATAACTGTGAAGAGAAATATTACTTGTGTACACTTCGTCAGATCTAACTACCGAGGAATTATTTGTCATTCCAAAGAATCGTCTTTAAACACAGCACCAGTTAGTCCTAAAAGCCTACAATTATCTACTACCAACTACCCAATAAGAAATTTAGCGCACTAGAATGTTTAGTTATTCGTATCTCAGGTTTTATTGAATCTTCAAGTGAGAACTCAGGACTAAAAGTATGACGTCAGTTACCGCCAGTCGACTGATTTATATCCTGACACAGTTTTCAGAGGAAACAGTATTTTAGTTTATTTTCTCAATTTGTCAGTATCTGTAGGAGTAGTTCGCCGGTAAAATGGACTTCTAATTACGTGAATACTGAACAGAGCAATGACTAACAATCAGGTACTTTTCTAATACGCTATATACTCAGAAACATTTTTAACCGGATTACAAATAGCTATTTAGATAAAATTTTTAATTAAAACTTTGAATTACTAATATTACTAACCAGTGAATCATTTAGCTAAACTTGAATAAGCTCAATGTAATTATTGTACTCATAGACACTAGTCATCTTGTCAAGAATATTCGGTATCATTATTAATGAAAAACTTACATTTACTATTTGATAATCATAATTTTCAACTGTTTGAGGTGTATCCAATTTAAGATTTCGTAAACTACCGCAATCTGTTGCTGATACATTGACACAATCTCGAACTAAACCAGAGAAAACCTGATCAGCACCACATTCGACACTGCCACTGCTAGTCAATGAACACGTGTTTAGTTCAAAATTATAAATACCAGTTGAACATTGAACACGTAAAAGCTGAAAATTCCAAAAGACAAATTTGTTCAGGTTCTGTTTGTTTTCAAAATGTAATCTTCATCACCTTTGAAAGCGATTTCGAAGCAAATTTGAAATTGTCCAAAGCAGAACAGATTTTTGTTTTTTAACTGAAGTCTTACTAATCCTAAATGTATTTTTATCACGAGTCGCTTGAAAAGACAAAAATCTTTTCGGTTGCATTGTATGTGAAAATGAGGGAATATTTTTTGGTAGTTGCCATCAGTTGACTTCAACATAGTCATATCACTCCTATGAAAGGCTTAATATCAAAGTGATATAAAATCTATTCTGAAGAATCTATTATTTTTAGAGTTTTTATATTTTCATTTTGTTTTATTTTAAAAATGATGGGTAACTGATCTGAAAAAATTGAACGGTCACTTCTCTCTAGTCATAATAACATACCACTTCCTGCTAAGCTTATCGGTTCAGAAGTAAATTGCAAAGCATTCTTTGAAGCACAATTACAGACTTACCATAAATAAATAAAGCCTGGAATCGTCATTTGTGAGACATTTCATTTTCATATGGAGTTTAATAATACAATGAAGTCATCAGGTGTTGAGGTTTATGACTTCTTTTATAATGAAAATAAATTGCAATGTTTTCCGGCTATGTTCTATTTCTATCAGTAGTTCAGAAACCTCATCAAAAGTCTGTCTAAGGTATGTACGTGTCAGATACTATAGTAATCTGACGGTCAACCAATAAAGATAAAAGTAAGTATTAAATCTAACTGATGGTAACTAGCAGAGGAATCCTGTTCGGGACTTATTGTCCGGATATACCTGCATTCTCAGTGAGTGATTGTGTATCACTGAAGTTCGCCAAATTTATATGATGACAAATATTACTCCACGAGCAAGGCTGTAAGAGATGATCAAATAAGTTTGTTTTATAACGAACACATTTTCATGTTATAAATATCCGAAATGCTGTGCTAACTGACTAGAATTTATCTTTTCAATGCTATAAACTAATGGATAGAATATTACTGGAACTTTCTTTTCAGCCAAAATGAACTTTTTTAAGGTGAAAGCTCTCCCTGATAGTCTGATTTCTGCCTAGATTTCCATGTTTTGGGCTCCAACCACTAATTATTGTAACAAAAGAACTTTTTCTAATGAAAAGTAATCTCTGAATGTTCAGTTTTATTTGTTGAAAAAATTAGGTGCGTGTATTATTTCTAAATAAGACGTCATATAATTTATTTTCACCTTTGTGCGAATTTATAATCATATATATATAATGGAGGAAAGTATCCGAAAAAATTGTGTCCATACATGATTAATAAATATATCTAATACAAACAAAGCTAGTCTAGTATACGGTATAGTTTGCCACCTAGTAGAGTCAGTATGCTTACTCCTTGCAACGGTAGCAAATAAATTGGTAGAATGTTATTCCCAAGATATTCCTTCGTTAACACAGGCCACCGACTCTAGGGTATTTACACATATGTTGATTACTAACCTATTCGGGATGATGATACAAGATTTAAAGAATTAAAGAACACATCGTTTTGTTATCAGTGCATTTTTAAAAAGTGCTTACATATTACAGCAAGTTTCCCTTTGCTTCAAAAATTACGGAAATTAAAACATAATTATGTGTGTATGTTCAATCTAAACAGCCTAATCCATTTCATAAATCACAAACTTTTCACTGACACTATTAATACACTGTATAATTATCTTGAGAAGATAGTGAAATGCACACCTACCACGTGATTATGAAGAGAGTTACTTCTTCAATGGGATTTACTGAATATGCTGAAAAGTACGCCTAAACAGATCAATTATTCATTGTCATATATGTTAAAAATCATTGGGATGACATAACTCGTTATACCAACCACTTAACGTTCACATAGTCCTCTTTAGGACATATTAATTGCTTATAGTTTAATATTTTTACTTCATAACTCAAATACTGGCAGGTGAATGCTTTATAACTCTGAATTTGACTGGTGTTCGTTCGTAGTAGCATTATGTCCCGAGTTGACAAAAGTTCACAAGCCATTAAACCCCATTTAAACAGATGAATGGTAACGTATTCGGCTAATAACTTAATGACTCCGTCTTGGGTGTATATTGCTAATAAGTTCCAAACTCATGAGAAACAGCCTCACGGTATTCCCTTGTCTTTAAACGTTCTCTAAATTATTTCGGTTCATGGAGAAATCTATCTAAAAATGAGTACAAACGCAGATTTCTCTACATAGTTGCATGGCTTTTTGAACTGATTGAATACTCAACCGAATTGATTCTGCAACATACATAATACTTTTTTATTCTGATGATCCCTCCATTTAAAGTCCCTGTGAATAAAATGTGAGCTGTTACGACGGATAAGCACAATGAAGTGCCTACAAGTCCTTTGCTATCTGGTAATGATTACTTGCAGTAAAAACTGCAGTGTGAATCTTGACTTCTCTCCCTGACTGTGTCTACATCTCATTAGGTAATTTTGTCCCATACATAGCTAACCTGTGTCATAATATTTAGTGTTGTTTATCATAAGCACAGCGCTTTTTGTGTGAATCTGTACTTATACTTACATAGAAGGTGACATCACTAGAAATTCGTGCGTTTATTTGGATTGTACTGATTGTCCCACTATACCGAGCTTGACTTCCAGTTATGATTAGTTTGTTTGTGTTATAGTTAATAAATATATCATTACTGCGTCTTGGTGGCATACCTATCCAGTCATAAGGACCTTCTATAAAGTCAAAAAACAATAAAAATATCTTATATTCATCAAATATAATCAATTATGAAAATTATATAAGGACAATTAACAGTAAATAAATCTCCGTTTATGTTCTCATCCCATTTTCCATAATTTTACCACATTTTTAAGAATCGGCTGCTAGTTATGTAATCTGATAAATTAGATAAAGTGGCTGTTTATTTTTATTTTTAGATAGTTCATTGCAGGCCCATATGTGGATCACGAGATCAATGTTGGCTTACACCCCCTTTGAGTCCATATGTGATGAATAATGCTAAAGTGAATATTATGTGGGTTACGGATTATTTTGAATTGGAAGCACTCAAGAAAACTGAGACCTGAGCCTCCAACTGGGGACTTTTCATTGGTCTCCAAGGAGTAATACTTATGAAATCAAGAAGTTACTGACATCATTTATTGCAGAACTATGAAGTTGAAATGCCTATCTGGAAGCTATGTCCATAAACTTTAGGATCCGCTTACCTTATACAAGGCATGAGTGCATATTGTTCACATTTGTTAGCTACATACACAAAGATTACCAGTAGTCTCACCGAGTCTAAATAATGCAAAATCTTTATTTTTCGTATTCTCTTCAAAGTCTAAATTGTATCAGACAAGAAATGAAATGACACTGTACTTTAGTCTACCACTGTTACTTCTGAGTTTTCATGTCGTTTACCTCCTACAATATAACATCAATCAAGTGAAGTGTGATGATGAACAGTTACACTCAGTTGGCGCTTAGGAGTAAATTGCACTATACTTTAAAAACTTTTTGATAATCATAACATCCAATAAACGAATGCGATAAGTTTTGGGGCAAACCCTTCGATTCATTCCATATTAGTTTGTTTATTAGATGTATCACATAGTGAAACACTATTATTTACTCAATGACGTTTCGAACAAATTTTATTGTTCATAATCATATCATATCAATTGTAATCACACGACTTCGAAACTTGAGTTTTATACTTTTCTTTGTCTCCTCCTATTTATCGTAGCGGTAGTAGAATTTTCCAGATATCTGGGACAGGTGTTGAATCATTTCTGTTACATGTATTTGCAGTTGACTCGATAAACAAAGCTTCTGTTATCGATCTCTCCCTATACCCCGTGACATTAGATTTTAAAACTGTCACCCATCCCATCCTGTTGTATGGTTGTGTGTAACTGCATGTAGTGCTATAGCTGAACTATTCTCTAGATTTCTTATCTTATTTGGGTCAACCAATCTAGATTTAGCTAGGTTTTTATGTTCGGCTAGTTTGACTGTCCCTGTTCTACTAGTCTGACCTATGTATTTGACATGACAATCATTGCAGGGTATTAGATAAACTAAATTGTTTTGTTTTAAAGGCTCCACAGGATCCTTTAACCGGCAAAGCTTGTTTCTAATTGAGTTTGTGGGTTTGAATGCCACTTTTATTCCTGCCTTGTTAAGAACTCTGCGTAAGGTTTCCGAGGTTCGTTCCTTGTATGGAATTACTACTACAGACTAGCCAAACATAAAAACCTAGCAAAATCTAGATTGGTTGACCCAATTAAGATAAGAAATCTAAAGAATAGTTCATCTATAGCACTACATGTAGTTACACACAACCATACAATTACCAAGGAAGATAGACAGATTAAACAATGGGTGGACCACTTCAAAGGACTCTTGAACCGAACACCACCTGCGACCCGTCCAGAAATACCAACAACAACGCGTACACAACTGCAAGTTGACACCAATCCTCCAACGAAAGCTGAAGTCTTGAATGCAATCAAGCTCCTGAAAGCTGGAAAAGCAGCTGGACCAGATGGAATACCCCCTGAAGCACTCACTGAAAGCGGACCCAGAGATTACAGAAGACATGCTGACTCACTCCGTTATTGCAAAAGGTCTGGAAGGAGGGATAGGTGCCTACTGACTGGAGGAAAGGTTACCTCGTGAAACTACGAAAGAAGGGAGACTTAGGCCCCACTCTGCAAGAACTGGTGAGGAATCATGCTCCTGTCGACGCCAAGTAAAATCCTGAGTCTCATCATCCTGGAGAGAATAAAGGATGCACTGGATACACAACTCCGCCCCACTGGAACAAGCTGGATTCAGGAAAGTCAGGCAAATCATGTTCTGACCAAATTGAAACTCTACGCATCATCATCACAGAACAAAGCATGGAATGGCCATCAATCAAACCTCTACTTCAACTTTATACACTTTGAGAAGACCTTCAACAGACAGCGTTGACCAC